CCAGTTAATTTGTCAGATTGAAGCTTAGCAAATAATTCTGCTGCAAGCATTCTACTGGCACTAGTTATCCCCGATGGAGGTGATAAATCTATAAAAAACTTTTTTAAGCTAACCAGAAAAGAGTTAATAAACAACTAAACCCCACTTTTAGATACGCTGTTTAAAAACTCATAATGTATAATAAAACGGTATCCTAAATCGAGGCAGGGGTGTATTGAAATGCCGTACTCCCAAAAACACTTTAAAATGCCAACATGTTGTTCCAACAATGGGGATTCGGCATATTAAGGCCGTTTTCATTCTTTGGCATTTCAATGACATTTTTATGGCGTTACAAGATCATAGCATTGAAGCTATCGCTTAGTGAACCTCTAAAAATTAATCAATGCCCACCAGTAAACCTTTTTTTTAAAGAGTGTCTTAAATAGAGGTGTATCTAATTCTGGGAGTATCTTATAGCAGAGGTTTGACAGTTAAAAATATTCAAAAATAAAAAATAATAAAACCATTTTCTTCCAATTTATTTTCATTAACATTTATTGAAGTACATTCAGCAAAAATAGACAAAATATATACAAGACCACCATAATCAAGTAAATCTTTAATAACCTGTTGATTTGCTACAAGTGCAATTAATGTACGCAAAATAATTTCACAAGCTTAAAAATAAAAAAAATTTTTTTGAAAATTTTGAAGAAATTTTCTGAAGAATTTTTCAAAAAAAAATTTTCGAAAAAAAATTTTTCAAAAATTTTCAAAAAAAATTTTTTGAAACTAAAAAATTTTTTTTGAAAAAATTTTAAATTTCAAAAAAAAATTTTCAAATTCTTTTAAATTTTAAAAAAATTTTTCTGATATTTTTTTCAAAAAAAATTTAATTTCAAAAAAATTTTTCCAAAAAATTTTTAGGATTTCAAAAAAAAAATTTTTTTTTTGAATTACTAATAAAATTTTCAGAAAATTTTTTAAAAAAATTTGTCTGATATTTTTTTCAGAATTTTAAAAAAATTTTAATTAAAAAATTTTTTTCCAAACCTTTAGGTAGCCTAACAAGTAAAACTAAAAGTAGAGACAATTTAATTGAACAAGCAACATCACTAACACATTCTTTATTACTTGCAGCAATAGAAATAATTTGTAAAGTTTTTAATTGAATTAAATCGAGAGAATGTAAACGTAAAAATCCAAAAATTGTTTTAAATTGTCCAATTAATAAAAGTTCAACACCCGGATTCATCATTAATAAATTACGTAAAGCTTCCAAAACCATCCGAATTTTTTCTTCCAATGGAAGTTTTGAATTATTATTTTCTTTGTTATTGAAGGTACGTGAACTTAAAATAAAAAAAAAATTTAAAAAAATTTTTTTTCTCTATTTTAGAAGGTCAAACTTCAAAAGTCTCTACAAAATATACAAAAATTGGTTCGTAGCCAAAAATCCCTCAAAAAATTGAGACGTTTTTTTTAATTTTATTATTTTATTTAATACTTTTTCCTGTGGATTTCTCAAAAGTATATCATCTAACCTCCCATCTATGACCTTTTTATTTAATTTTATTGAATTTATTAGACAACGATGTTAGTGGACTCCCTTTTGTTGTATATTTTTAATTTTGAATAAATAAATTTTTAATATAAAATGTCCTTTTCCGGGGGTTAGTCTCTTATTAAGCACCCAAAATATTACTTTCCCAACGTTTTGATTAAAACTCAATATAAATGGATTGTCAATTAAACTAAAGTCTTCGATTAACCGAAAATCTTCGGTTGCCAAGTTCGGTTCAAGACTGACATCTCTCTACACAAAACTATATTAAAATAAACCTATGATCATTTGAAGCACTATATTGATGCTTTTGATTAGAATGACATTCAACTCCTGTTTGAAATTCTCCCCATTCTGTAACAGGCAATTCCTCTTCAACTACAAATTCAGTTGTTAAATCAATTAGATCGTCCACTTCATTATTGTGATGCTGAAAAAGAGAAAATTTGAAAAAAAGTTCAACGATCTAGGTCGAAAATTTAGGCCACAAGCAGTGCTTGGATACACGTACCACAAATCGTTCTTACTCGAAATCTGATTTATGTACAAGATACTATATGTGAGGTTCGTGTGTGCGGACAAGAATGAAACTTCAAGCACAGATGAACAACCTTGTGATTAGGTCTAAGTAAAAGATTAATATTAGAGTTGCCAGCTCGCTCGAATCGAAACTCGAAAAATCGAGCGAGTCGAGGCTTTTCAGCTCGAAAACGAACGAGAATAAAAAAAAACAAGCTCAAAAAATGCACCGAACGTCGGCTCGAACCGAAAACGGCAACCCTAGTTAATATCGTTACTTAAATCAGTGCCTGAAAATTTCGTTTCTGGCCTTATACTCGAATTTGGTATCAAGTACCTAAATTGGTACAAGAGTCAAGCACTGGCCATACAACCGACTACCAAATAATTTTTAAAAAAATTTAAAAAAAAAACCTTTGCCGTTTTGACATTTTTCCCAGCATTCCCAACACTCAATTTATGTTGTTGTTGTTTATTATGTAAAGCTAATGTGGAAGGTTTTTGATTTTGTGTTGTTTTTGGTAAAAGCTGTTGTTTTTGTTGTTGTGCAAGTAAACCTTGTTGTTGATAAAGCTGTTCAGAATGTTTAGATAAATAATCAAGTAAATCCATACATGTTCTTTTTGGTTCCTAAAAAATTTAAAAAAATTTTTTAAAGGAAAAAAATTTCAAAAAAAAACCTGAATTTTAAATTCTGGTTGTAAAATATAAACTCGAACAAAAATTTCTCCAACAACAAATTCACTTGCATAAATACTTAATCTAAATTCAGCTCCAAAAAGTTCACTCTAAAAGATATTAAAATCATTAAAAAAAATTCTAGTAGATTTATATGAAAAAATGAGTCATTGGAAGCCCCGTGAAAGCATCGATTCCGTGAATAGCTAGAAATTATTGTTAAACGCCTTAGCTGACCACGTGAGGTGCTTTGCCGAATAAGTTTCATTTTCCCTTTTTATTGTTAGTCTTAAAAGCTCCTACCTAGTAAGGTTGACGGATCAGGATTCCAAAAAGGCAGGATATCAGGAAATTTTCGGTTCGGATATTAGGATTCGGATATCCGAAGATTTCCGACTATCCGCCAGCCTTACTACCTAGTAAGCGTTGAATCATTCCCTAATTTGGATCCCTCTACTTTCTTACAAAGGGAAAGGATTTTCATTCGAGGAGAGACTTATGTTTACTATACATAGGAAAAAATTATCCTAATATTTAAAAAAAATTTCTTTGAATTAAAAAACAAAAAATTGCCTTACCAAGTTATCATTAGAATTTCTATGAAGTTCAACAAAATCTAAAAGTTCGGCTCTAGTAGAATTATCCCAAATAAGGTAAGGATCAAAAGTATTTGAATTTAATAATTTAAGTACAAAATCATTTCTATATTGAATTGGAGGTTTTGTAACAGAGATATCATCTGCTAAACAAGCATCATCATCAACAGAATTTGGTTGGCCTAAAAAAATTTTTTCTTAAAAACAATTTTCCAAAAATTTAGAACTCACAAGTATTCTGCTTTCCATTATTTAAAACAATTTTTCCATTTTCTATAACTGAATTATTTTTTGATTTTTTAATTTCTTCTTTTTGTAACTCTTCTTGCTCTTCCTTCTCCTCATCTGATTGATTTAAATTAACTGCAAGTGAACAAGATGCTAATTGCATTTGACGACAGATATAAGGTGTAAGCATTGCACGAAGACTAAAAAATAGAAAAAATTATTCTCATTTAGTAGAGAATTAAAGAAAATGACAGGAAAAAATTTAATCGTTTTCTCGAAATATAAATAATTTCAAGCCTTTTTGTTGTTTTCAAACTAGTCCTGTTCCTTCTCCCCCACTCTCTGTATTTTTAGATTTTTGCTGACGAGTCCCAGTTCACCTTTTCTTCACATTTATATTTTATTATGGAAATATTTCAATAGGAATCTTTATTTTCTGATCATAACCCCCGGAACGTCTTCTAATACCAAGAGTTTGTTATACCAAGCCCCCAAAAACCGTTTTAATATTTATTTGGTATTTCGAGCTTTTTTCCACGGCTTGATATTTCAAAATCCTGGTATTTAAAGATCATATCATAACTCCTGGGTTTCCATCCACAATTTTTTAAATTAAAAAAATTAAAAAAAGACAAACCTATTTTGTACTCCATCATTGTCTGGAGTATTTGGACGATAACCAGCTAAACAAGCCAAAGCCTCACAACAACTTCGAGCTAGACGGTTTAAAGTGGATTGCTGGTTAGTTTTTTCGGAATGAGCAACACCTTCAAAAAAGTTCTATTTGAAAAAAATAAAACTAGAAAACCTCCTTCATCCAATGTCCAATCAAACCGAAACAAATGAGGCATTAATTGCCAAATAATTCCGGCTTGAAACATTTGAGTTTGTAAAAGTGTACAAACAGAAAGAGAACATACACAATCTGCTGCAGCACAGGAAAGACGGGTTAAATGCTTAAAATTAAAATTTTTTCTTATTAATTTTCAAAAAATAATTTTTTTACTTCAAATTTAAGTAATTGACAAATTCCTTTAAACAAAGCCTTCATTTCCGCAATTTTTTCACGACAAGCCTCAAAATTTGCAGCAGCACCAAAACAATTACAAACGTGTAGGCATACTTTGACAGCCATACTATTATCATTGCAGCTTGATGTAATCATTGGAACACAACGACAGAATGTTTTGTATAAAGCCTAAAAATATATATATGAACATGTCTATCACATAAAGAGTTTGGATTTAATTGTAAGCTTAAAATATTTGAAATTCATTATAGCGGAGGTTTGATGGGATTAAGGTGGATTTGAAGGGAATAAGGAGGATTTGGAGGGATTATGAGGATTTGGAGGGATTAAGGAGGAGTTGGAGGGAAAGAGGATTTGAAGGGATTAAGATGGATTTGAAGCGAATAAGGAGGATTTGGAGGGATTAAGGTAGATTTGAAGGGAATAAGGAGTCTTTGAGGTGATTAAGAAAGGATACCTGGAGACATAAAGAGATTAAGGTGATTTGGACCACGGGGAAAAATCCAAGCAATTCCCAAAATATCCCCAAAATTTCAGTTAAAAAATAAACCTCCAATCCACCATCTCTTCTCAATTGTTCAGCATTTAAAGGAGAACTTTTCAAAGTCCAATAACAAAGTTCTACAGCAGATATTAATAATTGTCCACTTTCACCTCCCTTCTGATTTGAAAATAAAGCATCATCTGCCGACTCCAAATCAATAGTTTTAATTAATTGGGTATATCCAGCATATTTATAAGGTGACAAAACTTGAGAAAAAAATTTTTTAATTAAAAAAAAACAAAAAATTTTCCGAAAGAAATTTCAAAAAATTCTAACAAAAAAATTCAAAAAAAATTTTTTTTGAAAAAAATTTCCCAAAATTCAAGTTAAAAAATAAATTCTCTCCCATCAGGATTTTTGTTCAAACAAATTTTTTTTAAAAAATTCTTCAAAATTTTTTTCAAAAAATTTTTTAATCAAAAATTTTCAAAAAAAAATTAAAAAAATAAAAACCTTTCAAATTCCTTTTGTAAGTAATACTTTGCGCTTTAATTATTACAATAATTCTATTAATATCCGGTTCTTGTGATAAACTTGCACGCGCCAATGTTGAAGTTAAAAATTCATAAGCATAATTTATTTGTTCAAATTGTTCTCTTCCATCAGGATTTTTGTCTGGATGATATTTTTGTGCTAATTTAAAATATGCACGGCGAACAGCTACAGGATCGCTCCAACTTGATTTGTCTTTTATATCTAAGCCTAACCGTTCACAAGCCTTTTAAAAAAAATAAAAATTGAAAAATAAAAAATTTTAGTGAAGGTGACATTTGATCCCAGAAGGGCATCTTGTAAATGCATTTGTTCCCCAATTTCAGTTTTAACTATTTATAAAATCCTTTCCTGTTTATTAAACACCAAGACTAACAAAAAAATTATATCTTGAATGAAAAATAGTAAGAAAGTGACATTTGATCACAAGGTGACATTTAATCCCAAAAGTTTCACTTTGCTCCCCAGCTTTATTTTACTAATTTAAAAATAAAAACCTGTTCATTAGACATTTTTGTAGGTTTTCTAGTTATCTCATTTTGCCATGCAGAGAGACAAGAACGTAAAAATTCGACAGGTTCTCTTATTGGCCATAATGGGAAACGTTTTTCATCAATTAAATGGCGAAGATAATAAAAATGACAAAAAAGCTCTTCCTTTAATTGATCATATTCTATTGGAGGAATAGGGCAATACCTTTTTTAATGAAGGATTATACAAAAAAAATTTTGAAAAAGAAACCTATATAAAGCTTTAACGTTTGAAGAAAGACGATTAGAAAAGTCAGCAACGTGAAGAGCAATTTTGTTAATCATGTGTTTTCTCATATCGCTATTCCAAATACATTCTGGATTTTGTGATTCTCCCAGAAAAACTTCAGCATATTTTTCAGCACCGTATTGCTAAAAAATAAAATTTTGAGAAAAAAAATTTTTTAAACAAAATTCAAATGATAAAAAATCAAAAATCTTAAACATCCCCCTATCATATTATTTTTCTTGCATTGGACTCAAAATTAGGGTTGCCAAAATGAACGATTCGGATCGAAAGATCGAGTCGGGCTTAATATATTCGGCCCGAAAAAGCCTCGTACAGACCCGACTCGGTAAAGTTAGGTCCGAAAGTGACTCGTACAGGCCCGACTCGATAAAAATGAGGCCCGAAAAATGCCTCGACCGTCGGCCCGACTCGAAAACGGCAAACGGTCCGACTCGAAAAAATCCTCAAAAAATATTTTTTACAGAGCTCATAAACTTTTTCAAAAAGTCTTTTAAAAAAATCAAACCTCCAAATAAAAAATATTTGCTTCAGGTAGCATTGGACATAAAACAGAACGGGAAGCTAATTCTGAAGCAGAAAGTGTTGATCGAAAAGCTTGTTTTAAGTGTGCATATTTAAGAAAATGTGCAATAGGTAATATATTTGATCCATTATACATTAAAATAAAAAAGAAAATGCCAGAGAGGTATAGACGAGACAATGCATTATTATCCTGAAAATTAAGAGAAGTTGCAAGACGGGTAAACCGATTGAAGTAAATAGGAACCGGCTTTGGTACCGTCGGGAACGAAAACCTCAGAATCGACTAGAGCGCTGATTGAGAGCGGGAGGGATGACGTTTTGGGATCCCTGGTTTTCAACCATAAAAGGGATTATAGGGATCACGCCCCATCGACCTTAAGAAAAAAATCACGGAGATGGATCCAGAATCTGTGATTTTGCCACTCTAAGTCGTACGATTTTTTGGAACTGAAAAATAATTCCAACTAGACAAAAAAATTTTGTAGGACGTTTCAATAAATTTCTTTTAGAAATCCTCTCCACGGAACGTCAGAAACATATTTTAGCAAAATTAAAAAAAATTGAACATACTTCCATAATTAAATGAACAAGAGTTCCTATTCTTTGAACAATCGCTGGATCATATGTCAACAAAAGTTGAACTAATTGATATAACAAAACTGGCTCCGAAAGAATTTTCTTTACTTTAGGTAAAGGTCTTATAATAGCTCCAGTCTCATCTCTAAATAAATTTTAAAAAATTAAAACAAAAAATTAAAAGTTTTAAAAAACCTTGAAGGAAAGAATGAACACATTTGTATTAATGTATCAAGAATTAATGAACACAAATCTGTTGGATTATACAAAGCTACTGGTAATAAATCGATATCTTTAGCTGAAAAAAAAACAGAAAAATATTTTAAAAAGGAATTGGAATATACAACTGGACCTCACTGTAAAATAATCCTTCGTTCAGAATGTTTATTTTGGTTGGTCATTAAATGGAGAAAAAAACTGTGAGAGATATCCCCAATTTCTAATATAAAGATATGTATGAATACATGTAGGTCGGCAATTCACTAACTTATTATCAAATACAGTGACTTTGCCACCCAAAACTTTATTCTCGAGACTCGTTTCCGCCAAAGGACAACTTAGTTAACTAATTTTAAAAAAATTTAAGATCAGAATATCAGGAGATTTCTCAGAATCCCCAACCTTAGCAAGGGTATATCCAGAGAGAGTACTTTACAATGAGATTCAACTTTAATTTAATCCTTACATTTCTCGTTCTCATCCGACTTAATTGAAGATGTTTGACCAATTAAAGAATGTTGATTACAACAGATAGTCCAACGGAATTGTGCGACCGATGACAGATAACACCATTTATCCAAACCTTCAGCCCAAATTTCACTTTTCTCGAATAATGTTCCATCACAAAATAATTGTTTAATCTAAAATAGAGACAAGCTTTACTGGGGTATTATTAAAAATCATATAAGGCAAAAGTAAGGTGGTTAACTGACACAGATTTAGCGAACCCTAGTTTAGAGTTAACACAGCTTAGAGTTAGGGAGACCTAAAACAAGTAGGTAACCATAAAAATAGGAACCTGCCAAAAACTAGAATAAAAATCTCTTGGTCATATGACTCTTACAAGGAACCATCGTTTACTGTGACTACGAATTTGATATATTTTTTGGAACCAACAAAGAGAATCGGCGTTGGCAAATTCGCAGTCACAGTAAACGATGGTTCCTTGTTAGTCAGGCCTCAATGTATAACGATCCGTTCTCAAATTCCCATTAAAAGAATTAAAAAATTAAAACCTTGCGAAATGAATAAGGCCCATTCCTTTGTCCTTGTTTATCATTATAATACCATTCCTTAGGAGCACTTTCTTCAGAATCTATTGTTCCTTTTGGTGCTTCAATAACATTTGTTTGTGCATGTAATTTAGCTCTATTAGTATGTAAATGTGCTAATACAGCAATATCAATTAGAAGGGGAAGAGAATCAGCCGCAATTAAATCACGAACATTTTGCTTATCTAGAGCTAACTAAAAAAATTTTTTTAACAAAGAAAGATATCGTTTTTAGATAACCTCTTGAGGTGGGAAAATTTGTAACTTATATAGGGAGTATCTTAAATAGGGGAGAGTCCATTTAGACCGGAGTGCCAAGTAATACTAAAAAAGCCGCTGAAAAACAAACTGTGGAAATGTCACCAAGCACAAAAAACCTCATTATGACGGCAAGATACTAGAATTGTTCCCAGTCCCCGGAAGTCATGGAATTTGAGAAAAATCACGAAAATTTATCATCATGGCCCCCCGTTGGGGAACAACCCTACTAAATACCCGTTTAATGACGGCTAGATACCCGCTTAAGCAGTTCCCTACACACAATGGCCTAGGCAGTTCCCCTAATTAAAACAGAGCAAGTATTCTTGAGGAGTATCTTACAATGGATACTTCCTCTATTAGTCAATTAAGCTCTTAAAAATTAAAAAAACCTTGCTTATTAAATAAATTAAATGATCTCTTTCAGCCAAATTAATACATTTTGCCAACATATGAACAATATAATAAGTATCACTAAAAGGCCCTATACTTATACAATGACGTTCATAAACAATAGCCATTGCACGTAAACATATACAACGCATTTCATTTCGTTGGGCAAGCAAAAAACGATGGTAAATGTTGTTGAAAAATTCCTGGTAGAAAAAAATGTTTTAGAACGGAACAATTTTAAATGTAAATATAAGAAAATTTTTAGAACACAAACAAAATACTCCGAGTACACGGATCTAAACACAAGTAGACTTCATTATAAGATACTAGCTCTAGAACTAGATATTTTCTCCTATACATACCAGTTAAAGACCTTTTTTGATGGGACATAAGTTTGAGGTTTCTGCTCAAGTCCCAATATTAGATACACTTTAACAGCAAGGGAGTAGCCTTGGGGTCCTATGAAATCAGCCCTGGCTCTACCCTTGTTCAACATATTTTTAGAGCCAAGGGACTCTGAAAAACATAGCGAATTAAAGAAAAAACTTCAAAAAAAAAGAGAAAAACAAACTTGAGGTCTATGAATAGGCGTAGCCGTCTCTACATTATTTTCTTCAGATAATAAAAATCTTAAATAATATTCACCAATTCTAACTTCATCAGACAAAGAATTGTAATTAATCTAAATTTTTTAAAGAAAAAAATCTTAATTTTTAGATTAAAAGAACCAAAAATTCAGAATGATTCCAAGCTATTTCAGTTTCTGATTGTACAAATTCTAATTCATGTTGTAATAAACGCATTTCATTAGCAATAGCTTGTCGAAATTCGTCTCGAGTTTTTTCATTCCATATTAAATCTGCACGAGAATGGTTTTGAGCGAAATAATAACTGAAAAAGTATTAAAATTTTTCTTTATTTGGAAGGGGAAATGATTTTTCGTTGAAGAAAGGAAAGCTGGTAATCTAAGAAAAAGTTGGTATGGAGCCGTAATACTAAAACGCCGTAATACACGCTGTTCGGCATTTTTACGGGTTTTGGGTGGCTATTTCTTCGGGGTTATTTTCTAAGTTAGGAATTTCGGAAGCTCTTGAGGGTTTGACTTTTCAGCATTTTAGCATTACGTCACATTCGGGAAAAGTTTCGAACAAAAAAAAAGTTTAAAAAATTTCCAAACCAAAAACTTTTCCAATTTGCAGTAGCTTTAACTTGTCTTCTTCTCTTTCTCAACACAACAGGGCGTTGTGTTGCCTTTTGCTGCTCTTCCCTAACACGATGATTTTGTAAAAAAGTAAGTTTTTGTTCCAAATTCCAATGTTGTAATAAAGTGTCTAAACGAGCTTCTAAAGTTATTTGAACACTTTTAAGTTGATCCTAGAATTTTTTTTAAAAAATATTTTTGAATCTGAAAAACTTGAATTTGTGCAAAAGGTTTGTCTTTCTCACAATTTTCGGCCATTTCCAAATTATTTCGGACAGTTAACAAATCTTTTTCATCAGGTATAGAAGGAGGAGGGTCTTTAGAATCCAAATAATCCAACAAAGCACGAGGCTAAAAAATTATTTAAAAAATTTCAACAAAAATCTAACCAGGCAACGATTTAATAAATCTTTGGCAGATTGGTTTTCGGCAATCCACAAAGCTATAAGATACCCACTCAATTGTTTGTTGGCAAGTATACGAAAATCTTTTGTTCCAGAGGTTGTTAAAAGTGCCATTTCCAAATGTTTTAAAAATGCGCCTTCTGTTAGTGCTAACATTTGCATTTGTCTACTTATCTTAAAAATTTAAAGCAATATTTTCTCTCAAAATAAATAAAAAATAATTTTCTCAAGTTAGGTCCCGAGAAAATATTTATAAGATCGCTCTGGCTAAAAAAGTCGGAAACCTCAAAAAAACGAAAACCTCAAGTAGACTCAAGTAACCGAAACCTCATGTAGACTTCAATGAAAAGAAAGAGTTTGCAAAAGTTTAGCCACCGGGCAGGATTCGAACCTGCGACCACCTGCTAGTTGTTGCTAGGCTTTCGCTCACTATATGCAGGAGCTCTACCGTTGAGCTACCGGGGCATCGACTAATGCTTTCTCTTTTTCCTTGTAAGGATGATTCACCTAACAGCATTTAAAACGCTTAGGCGGGGGATAAACGATCTAAAAAGGAAAAAGAGAAAGCATTAGTCGATGCCCCGGTAGCTCAACGGTAGAGCTCCTGCATATAGTGAGCGAAAGCCTAGCAACAACTAGCAGGTGGTCGCAGGTTCGAATCCTGCCCGGTGGCTAAACTTTTGCAAACTCTTTCTTTTCATTGAAGTCTACATGAGGTTTCGGTTACTTGAGTCTACTTGAGGTTTTCGTTTTTTTGAGGTTTCCGACTTTTTTAGCCAGAGCGATCTTATAAGCGTTTTAAATGCTGTTAGGTGAATCATCCTTACAGAAATTACAAGGAAGGAAACCCTAAACTCAACGGAAACCCCTCGCTCTTATAAAACCCACAAATTGGCAAAAAAACAAAAACCTCTCTTGAAGATTCTTCAATAATAGCTCTCATAACCATTCCAGCCCCTTTAACAATGGTTAAAGAAGGGTGATGAAAAAGTTCATAGAAAATTCTTCCACGTTGAGCAACCATTTCCAGAATTGTATCAAAAACATCACCAGGCGTTGTTTCGCTATAAGGAGCACACACTGTGAATGCAAGGAAATCGAGTAATGAAGCAATTACAAGGGCGCCTTTAGCAAAAAATTTTTTTGAAAAATTATTAAAATTTTTAATAACTCAAAAGAAACCTGTCTTTTTTGTAACATTATTGACAATCAATTGAAGCAAATGTTCCAAAAATAATTTATTGGATAAAAGTGCCTGCTTATTTAATTGTTCAATTCTAAGCTCATAATTTGCATGTCTAGGTTGTAAAAGTGTACAAAGCATTTCAACACAAGCATAATCTACATGTTCTTCTTTTCGTTTTAAAACTGAAACTACAAGAGTTCCAAGACGTTCACGTATTCTAAAAAATATTTTTTTGTTTGAAATTCACAATAAAATCAGGCTATGGTCTAACATATGAGTCTAATCAAAATTTCCTATAAGTCCGGCACGAGTAGATTAAAAACTCTAACGGATTGTAAGTTATAATTAACCTCCTGAAAGTAGTAAATGGCTGAATCGATTTTCTGGATTATCCCCCCCCCACGAAATATTAAAAAGGGAAAAATTTGAGGAGGGGATTGAACAAAGTGCTTTTTTTGCCCATGACCGTCCAAATTCAAAAAATTGAATTTGGACCTCTTAAAATCGACCTCTGCTTCGCCCTTGCTTTTGATTTTACATCGGAAAAACCCAGACCTTATCGGTAAGAAATAAGAAGTAAATTAAACTCATAATCAAACCATGGCCAGAAGAATTTCCAACACCCCAAAATAAAAATAAATATTCCCAACAAACCCTTCAACAGTTGTAAAAGCCTGAAATCCTGCTTTTGCTGCAAAAAGTCTGTGAAGACAAGATAATTGTGCTTCTATTTGTATACTAATTTCGTGTTGATCAATTTTACTAACTTCATATTGTTCTAATATAACAGCTTCCAAACAAGAAATAATAGTTTTGCCCTTGCTATCGGAGAAAAAACCCTAAAATTGATTCTTTGGTTAAGTGGTATAAAATTGGGAAAAGGTCGAAGGTTCGAACCCGCTCGTGGAATTTATTTTTAATTTTTTTATTTATTGTTAGAATATTAATTCTTGAACTTTTAAACATCAAATTTATTAAAAAATAAAAAATATATATACTTCTGAAGGGGCAGAATAGCTCAATCCATTGTATGGGACATTTGCATTAAATCGACGAATCATATCGATGCGTTTAAGTCCAGCTAAAATGTTTAAAAAAATTAAAAATAATTTAAAAATAAAACTAACGAGGAATCTGTAAAATAAGTTTTAGCAAGTGTTGTTCTGCCTCTTCATCCAAACAAAATCCAAAAGGAACTAATCTCATTGTTTTATATTTTTGAGGGGAGATTACATGTATTTGATAATTTCCACAACTTCTAGCTCCATCTATTAATGCTGCTAACAAAGAATCGCTAAAAAAAATTAAAAAAAAATATTTTTTAATTCTGGGATAAAATGTCATCTTTTAGAAAAAAAAAGATTCTAACCGATCATTTGAAGAATATAAACGTTCATCACCATTTGAATAAATTAAATGAAATTTTTGTGGATCTTTCAAATCACGAATAATGTAAGATAACTGGAAAAAGAAAAAAATAGTAATTTTAAAAAATTAGAGAAAAATCTCATGTATCCAAAAAATCACAAATAAAGACAAACACACAAAAACGGAAATATAAACGTAAAAAATTAACGTAAATGTTCTAATAGAAGCCTGGCTCCAATAGAAGCCCATGCCCCATTAGAAGCCCACCCAATGGGACTCATAGAAAAATAGACGCCCAGGTTTCTATTGAAACATTTACGGTATGTACTTACAAAAAACCATATCGAACTGTCACCAAAAATTTCGTAATTAGGTATTTTTATAACATCGTGTAGAGCAGGGTTAATTACCCATTGCCACTCAACCACTCCGAAAGTCAAAAACTTTAAAGTCCTATAACTTTACGATTTAGGGGGTAGGGTCAAAAAAGAAAAAAAACTGGCAATAGGAAAATGACACTTCTATACACGATGGTATAAAAATAATTACGGAATTTTTAGTCACGGTTCAAAAGGTTCCCTTGATAATATTATTCCTTCGTTATAAATTAACAGGAAAACTTAACAGGAGGCACAGGAGGATCTTGAGGCCCTATAACTTTCTGATTGGGGGGGGGGGGGGGTCTGGGCCAAAATAAAAATTAACAATAAGTAATCGACCCTGCTCCACACACAATAGTATGTATAATTTTTATTTAAAAATTTTGGTCAAAGTTCAATATAAAATTCAAAAAAATTCCCTACTGTATTTAAATTCCTTGCACATATAACAGCATAACTTAAAGGATCTCTTTCAATAATGCACGATTCACTGATACACAAAAGCCTTCGAATTGGTACTAGGCTGTTGATATGACTTTTTTGGACATTAAATTCGACAAATGAGGTTAATTGTTCATCCTTGCTGAAATTATAAAAAATTTAATTCGTTGATTATGACGGAAAATGTTGAATTCGCAACATGCGAGGAGCAGGGCTGGACAAAATTGAGAAAAATTTTCCGCACCCGCATATAAAGAACGAAATTTCACGCAATCCGCAACTGCGTCCAGCCTTGGTGGGAGAGTCGCAGGTTCAAAAGTCTTTAGTTGAAAAATCACTTTCTTGGGTTGGTAATGTTAAGTTTAAAATGCATAGGAGTCAAAGGTTCAAACCAGGGATGTCACGGGTTGAGAAAAATGTCGGGTCGGGTTTCCAAAATTTTTCTCGACTCGGGTTTCGGGTTGAGCAAAAAGTCGGGTCGGGTTTCAGATCGGGTTTTCGAAATTTTCTTCGGATCGGGTTTCGGGTCGAAAAAAGTGAGAATTTTGGAAGGCCAAAAAGCCAAAAATCTTCCCTTCTCATTTGTCAGCGCAGCAGGCGAAAATTTTGAGAATTCTGGAAGGTCCGAAGCTAGATTTATCCTTTTTCAGCGCCGCAGGCGAAAATTTTCAGAATTTTGGAAGATCATTAAGCTAAAAAGCTTCCCTTTTTCTGCGACGCGGGCGAAAATTTTCAGAAAACTCGGGTCGGGTTTCGGGTCGGGTTTTGAAAAATAAAAATTCTCGGGTCGGGTTTCGGGTCGGGTTTAGAAAAATTCTCGGATCGGGTTTCGGGTCGAAAAAAAGGCCGGGTTTCGGGTAACCCGTGACATCCCTGGTTCAAACCCATTTTGTGGAATTAATAAAAAAAATTTAAAGAAACCTGCAAAGACCCAGTCTTGTAAGCTTAAAATCATCCAAATTTAAGGGATCTCTAGCAATTTGTAAATCTATAGCCAAAAATTCAAGGGCAGCATCACGCATTATTTTCAATAATTGCTCGGTTTGATCGCAAAAATAAAGGTGCTAGAAATTAAAAAATTTTTAAGTAATTTTTACTTCCCGTAGGAATTGGGATAAAATGTCATATAAAAATTATTTGATTAATTTTCCCCAAATTTTCGAAAATTTTCAAAATGTTAATTTAAAAATCCCGTTATAATTAAAATAAAATTTTTAGAAATCCCATATTGAGTTTAATTTGTGTCCAATCTTTTTTATTTTGCTCAAAATAAATCCCTGCCTATTTTAGGCATTTTCGAAAAAAAATTTTTGCACGGAATATGGAACTATACGCTTTTTTATCCTAATCTTCATTAGAGTTGTCGGACCTTGAAAAATCTTTAGATACACCGAGAATCGAACTAAAGCTAAAAATTCTCAGTTGTTCGGTTTGATTCCTAGCCTACTAACTATTATGAACTGCTTACAGGAATGCATTATCGAGAAAAGGAGATTTACGGAAAAATAAAAAAAAGAAGAGATAACCCAAAACTTTAACAAAATCCATCACCCAATAATAATTTTAAAAATTCAAAAAAAATTTATCAAAAAAATACCCTTCTCCTTTGTTCACCCAATTCAATTATAAAAGCATCTTGTTGTCTTCCTTTTAATGGAATAATTAATCTAATATCTTTGTAATTATAATTTTTCAACAAAGAATTTGTATTTGCTTCCAATTGATTTATTGAACAAGCAGAGATTTCCAAAATTAAATTTTGAGGTTTTTCAGACCAACCAATTTTTCGACAAGGAAATCTCTTTAAAATTAATAATTCGTTTTTATTTGAATAATTATTATAATTAAAGTCTATTTTTCTTCCAAAAATTTTTCTTGCAAAATCTTCCAAAAAACCCTAAGATTTTTTTAAAATAAAATAAATTTTAGAATTGGAATGAAATGTCTCTTTTAAATTTTATTTTGATTTTAAAAATTATTCTGATTGCGGAGGAAGCAGTCCAAGGTAACGCAAGCCCAAGGTACCGCAAAGCCACTTATAACTTTGTTCTGACTTGTCGAATCCGTGACACCCTAGTATAATTCGATGCAGGCCCGTAGCCAGGATTTTTTTTCGGGGGGGGGGGGGGGGGGGGGGGGGGGGGGGATTTTTTGCGCCAAATTTTTGACGCAGAAGGCGCCAAAAATTTTTATTTTCAGCGCCGCAGGCGAAAATTTTTTGAATTTTAGAAGGTCGTAGGCCAAAAAATTCACTCTTTCGGCGCCGCAGGCGCCAAAATTTTGATTTTCTGCGCCGCAGGCAATAATTTTTTGGATTTTGGACCTTAAAAAGCCAGATTTCTTCCTTTTTTAGCGCCGCAGGCGAAAATTTTTTAAATTTCAGAGGTCGTAGGCCAAAAAATTCACTCTTTCGGCGCCGCAGGCGCCAAAATTTTGATTTTCTGCGCCGCAGGCAATAATTTTTTGGATTTTGGACCTTAAAAAGCCAGATTTCTTCCTTTTTTAGCGCCGCAGGCGAAAATTTTTTAAATTTCAGAGGTCGTAGGCCAAAAAATTCACTTTTTTTGCCCAGCCCTTCCCCAAATTTTTTCCTTTTTCCCATTTCGGGGGGGGGGGGGGGGAATTCCCCCCCTCACCCCTAATTACGGGCCTGGTTCGATGCGCCCGGCGAGCCGTATCGAACCATACCAGTGCGTCCCAGATACGACAATTCTGAACGAAGTTACCTAGGGCTTGTGGTACCTTGGGGTGTACCCAATTGAGGAAATGGGTGTTCTTACAGCAAAAGTTATAGTTTGGGATGAAATGTCAAAAAAAGTAAACGTGGCTTTTTTGTGGGAGTTTTTCACTAAATTTTTTCAAGGTTTATCACTCTTCAATCTGAAGGTTCTGTCCGTAAATCATAAAACAAAAAGAGAGGATAAAATCACGAAAAACCCTGTTATTTTTACACGGCAGAAAATTACCAAGGTTTATAAATAAAAATTTTTAAAACATCCCCCAACAAAAAACATTCCAAATGTAACTAAAAAAATAAATTTTTACCGGTTTTTGGTCTGCCCTATCAGAGGCAAATCGATTTTGAAACCGCAAAGCTTCAGTAACAATTTCACGGGCAAATTCACTTGAAAATCGCATAGAATCTGACTTTCCTCCTTTTTTTCGAACCTTAAAAAAGAAATTTCGAGAATAAAATTGAATAAATATAAAATCAAACTTGGATGTTAAATTGATCTTCATGTCGAGTATTTGCACTAGAATCAGCACTGGAATGTCGTGGACGTTCGTTAACGACGTTGATTGAAAAGAAGTCTTCGTAAAGCCACTAGAAAAAGAGAAAATGAGTTTTTAAAGTTAACAGCAAAAATTAAAAAGTCAAAAATATATGAGAGGCCCAAAACTTTGGAATTGAAAAAAACAACCAAAAATTTTTTTTGGAATTTGAAATCAGGCCCGTAGCCAGGGGGGGGCGCCTTCGGCGCCAAAAATTTTTTTTTTTTGGCGCCTTCGGCGCCAAAAATTTGGCGCAGAAAAAATTTTCCCCCCTTGCCCCCCCCCCCCCCCCCGAAAAAAAATCCTGGCTACAAGCCTGTTTGAAATCTTTAAATAAATTCTGATTTTAATTCTACAACCCCAAAAAACAAAATCCTTGGAGCTGGACTTTGAGTAACAGAAAAACACAGGCCCCACCAAGGCTATCTCAATTTTCAAATGGAAGATACATATTATAAATCAGATATGAGACGGGATATACTCCTCCACGGGAAAGCTCTTGGCCAGATCAAAAAAAAGGGCAAAAACGGTTAAAAATCCTTGCTAGAAAGGGCACATTCTCTATCGAATGAGCCCGGTCTCGACCGTTTTTAGCTCGGACATCTCGCAACCTTCCCTAGTTAGTGTTAATATGAAAAATAAATTTAAATATACTTGATTTGTAATTTCCAAAGATTGTGGATTGTATGTAGTAATTGCCAAATTCCCAACAGAAAATATTCTTTTGTATCTAGAAAAGAAAAATTAAAAATAATTTCCACAAAATCAACAAACTTTCCCTTCCAAGCAGAAATTTTAGTCACTAAAAAACAGTGGAGATCGTGATTGTTTGGATTGAAAATAATTGATTTATTCATTATTATACTTTTGTCTTGCACATTAATTTAATTTATCTAAATTTGAAAAAAATTTCCTAATCGAAATTCCAAGAAAATACAAAAATTTCAGTCTAAACAAAAATAGTGTGAAAAAATGAGAGAGACGGTGAGAGAAAAAAAGAAAGAATCGGAACAATAGGCAACGTATTTTTAAAAATTGCAAAAAAACCTAGAAAAACTAAAAAAATTTTTCTCTGCCTAGAAGCAAAAATCTACGAGAAAAAACAGAAATTTGGTTTCAGACTCTAATGACTTCAGACTCTAGTGGAATTTTACAATTAACATGGATCTTTTAACGCCACAGTACAGTATTCCGTTATAAACTAGTGACACTCATTTGTGAGCTAGAGGAAATATTTTATTTTAATTCCTTAAGTAAAATGAAAATTGATCTTCTATGTAAAATTTATAAATGCATGAAAATGAAAATTTAACAATTTTATATTTGATTAAATACACACCAGGGAACGCGCCGACAGAAAATCAAATTCCTGATTTTCGTGAATCGTGAATATATGAGCCAAAAATCGTCGGGAATTCACGATTTTCGTGAATCGTATCGGGTCGGCGCGATCCCTGATACACAATATTTATTTTTTGTCATTTTTTTATGGTTGAAGTGATTTTCCACGTTGATTATAAATTCTATCTTTCTGTTCCGGAGTGAAATTTAACATTGTCATTATTGCCTAAACGAGTAATTGTAAGTATGTTCTAAATGGAAATTTATTTTAACAATTACGGAAATATCAAACACGATTGAAGGACCATGGGGAATCTCCGGATATTAGGAATCGAAATTTTGATTAAAGTATTGGAGATTGCCCTGGGCGGATTGACCTTGTGAATAATTTTTGTGAGCAAAACCCGGAAACGTCAATCAAGATTGACGGATCCTGGGGAAACTCCGGATATCCAGAACCAAAAATAGTGGAGAATGCCCTAGACGCAGTTCGTCTTGAGAATAATTTTTGGGGAGGAAACTCTCAAGTGTAATGGATAAATAAGCCATAAATTTTCTATTTTTAGCGCAGCAGGCGAAAAATTTAGGGATTTCAGAAATTTCAACAAGCCAGCTTTCTTTCCTTTCCAAAACTAAAAGAGGTAAGGCGATGTTCAGGGAAGAATTTGACAAGGATTTCAGCGAACTTCTTACCATAAGTTCAAATGCGAATCGAAAATTTCCGGATACCCATTCCTTTTCCGGTTCCAAACTTACTTGTAAATGTTCCCTAGCACATCCTTTACTAAGCAAATAGTAGAAGAAAGCATCATGTAAAAATCGTGTCACAACTTGTAATTCTGTTTTTTCATCCATTTCTTCTTCTTCTTCCTCCAATTTTTGAATGTTTTTCGAAGCAGCTTGTTGCCCTTTCCGGAACATGACTAAATACATTTTTTGTCTATCCCTATCCATTTCTACACACTTTTGTTCATACATTCCATTTTCTCTCCTTAATAATCCACATTCAGCAGTAACTTGATTTAATTGTTCAGACAATTCTGAGACTTTTTTTCGCTCATTTTTCAACTTAAAAATTTGGGGGAATTTTTTAAAACTCCTTTAAAAGGGTCTCGGTACTTTTCCGTTAACGACCGCAAACTGTGTACCAGCCGACTTTGAACAGCTATAACTTTTTTATGCTTGATTAGATATAATTGAATTTTATATCATTCGAAAGCCCTCTATAAGCTTTATCTTTTACCCAAGAGTATGGATCAGGTCTGATCACTCATAAAAAAGTTACAAGTCGATAAGTGCAAGAAATCGTTGTTTTTCACTATTATCGGGTTATAACTTCTTAATGAGTGATCATACTTGATCCATCCTATTAGAAAAAAGATAGAGCTTATCGAGAGCTTTCGAATGATATAAGATTTATTTGTACAGGATCAAGCTTCATAAATTTATAGCTGTTCAAAGTCGGCTGGCACTCAGTTTGCGGTAGTATAACAAAAAAGTACCAAGTTCTCTTCTACCTCTTCCACAACTTTTTGTTGTTCACCAACTTTTTTGTCTCTATCTTCCTTTAATGTTGTAAATTGCCTTCTTAAAGCCTCGCTAACTATAGATCTTTCCCTTTCGTCTATAGCCTCCCTTCTTTTTTTTATTCTTAAACTTCCTTGAGAAATTTCGTTTTGGTGGCACAAATCATTTGTTTCTGCCAATTCAGGCACACTTTTCCATTTTTCATTGTTTCTTTCATTAAATTCAAGAGAATTTCTTCCCCTTTCTTCTGCAAATTTTGCAACAGCTGCGGAATGGATAGCCTGAACCTTAGCCATTGCCAATTCTCCTCTCAGAATAGACACTTGCCCTATTTGGGTAAGACGATCATTTTCGACTATATTTAGTCGTCTACGGAGATTATTAACCTATAATTAAGTTTATTAATTAATCAGAATTTTGTATTTTTTCGGAAAAGGAAAGAATTTGTATTTCACTGTATTTTTCCGGAAAAGGAAAAATACAATTTTTTATTTCCGGATCTGAAATTGTATTTTTCAGTTGCCCATATTTCTCCGGTTGTATTTTTTATTTTTCCAGTCTACAATTTGTATTTTCGTTTTCCGACTTATTATTTGCAGAGGTGGGTCGGAATTCCGATTTCCGACTTCCGATTTCCGACGTTTTTTTCCTTCCGATTTCCGACAGTTCCGATTTCCGACACCTCTGACTGTTCCGACCCACCTCTGATTATTTGTATTTTTTCCGGTTTATATTATGTATTTTTGTCTTTTGCCTTCTTCCGGTTTACAATTTGTATTTTTATCTTTTCCGGTTTTCAGTTTGTATTTTATGTACTTTTCCGGTTTACAATTTGTATTTTCCTTCTTCTGGTTTACAATTTGTAAATTTGTATTTTCTTTCTTTTTCCGGAGTATATTTCCGGATTCTCTCTCTATTTAATACAATACCTCTCTAAAACACGTTCCAGCAACCTCTTTCCACTTCTTTAATTGTTGAGCACGTAACAATGGAGGTCCATTATGCCCAATATGTTCGGCACTACAACTTCTCTTCCATTTCCCTTTATTTATACAATCATTCCCTATTTCCGCCTCCCTTCTAGGCTCTGTTCTGTAAATCCAAAGTTCCAACTCCGCTTCCTTTAATTTCCCTCTAATTTCACAATTTGTTCGTTTAAGTGCCAAATTTTGATTTTTTAGTTCGTAACAATGTTTTTCATTTTCTGCTAGTGCTTCAAGCCAAGAATTTAATTGGTCAAATAATTCTTCCTTATCTATCCTTTCTCCGTTTTGACTTGCTTTTCTGCACATAAATTTAACTCGGTCTTTTAATTTGTCAGCATCACCAAATTGAGTCTATAAAAATTATTTGATTAAAAAACAAATATTTGGCTTAATGAACAATTAATTGGTTTAAACAGCAATTAATTGGTCAACTTTCAAATTAAATACTCTAATATAAGCCCATCTCTATTAGAAGCCCATCTCTAATAGTAGATGGAGAAGCCCATCTCTAATAGATGGAGAAGCACATCTCTCCACCCGAAGAGACCCATGGGACCTATATTACCTCCAACACCTAATAGAAGCCCATATCTAATATAAGCCCAGTCAAAGAGGGACATTCAAAAATAAAAGCCCAGAGTAGTTACGGTAATTCACAGACCTCATCCTCTTCTAATAGTTGTTTATCAAGTTGTTTCCTACTATGCTCGACTTCTTGTCTTCTAGGGGCAGAATGAGAGCGTAAAATAGATTTGGTTGACCCTCCCAGACGATTGTAGGGAAGAGAAAGATGTCTAGGAATCTAATAAATTTATTTAAAATTTCTAATCAGATTTCCAAAATGCCTTTAATCTTGAGAGAGATACACTTTCTTCGTCTGTCTCCTCCTCCCACTCTTCCAACTTTTCACAAGATTTAAAACCTTTTTCATCACCAAAAGACCGTCTATTAAAATCAGAATTATAACCCAAATTTGTAGGTAATGAAGCAATAGAAATTGAATTTGTAGAAGAAAAGGGCTGTTGTTGTTGGCCCTGTAGTTTTCCTAAAGGAATTGAACCTCCAAATTCGACAAGTCCTCCTTTTCGTTGAAAAGCTATTGTTAAAAAATCTGGGGCGCCGATTCCAGTATTTGGGGTTGTGGTTTGTTGAGTTAATGTTTTGCGGCGTTGTTGATGCTTGAAATTATTTTTTGAAGATTTTCTAGTTTACAATTTGTATTTTTCTTTATACGGGTTACTTGGGACACGCCCAAGTAAGCGCACGGCCAAGTAGGCGCACGGCCAAGTAGGCGCAAAGCCATAACTAGCTTGAAACTTTCTGGACCTTAACAATTTTGGTATCAATCTCTTTAGCTGATGAGTGGAATCGTTTAATACTAAATTTTGAAAGATTCGAAAATCCTGAAGCAAGTTATGGCTTTGCGCCTACTTGGCCGCGTGCCTACTTGGGCCGTACCCGGGTTACTTAAGTTTATAAACTTGAGTTTTATTAAGAATACAAACTTAAGTTTCATTAAAAATTAAAGTCCAGGTTTCTACAACTCAACCAACAACTTCCCATACCTTCTCAACAAGTTCAGCAGCAAAAGCAGCCACTCTCTCATCCACAAGTTCTTCTAATTGTTCATCTCTCAAATCAGCATTATCAACTTGCTGATCCCTCTGATTAGGTCTACAGAAAACATATTTGTTTGAAGTTCTTGGACGAACTTCGATTTGGACATCTCTTTTAGGGCAATTTAACTACAAAATAATTGTTAAAAAATTTCAACTATTTCTCTTAAAACTTTGTTAAAAAGCTGTTCTGCATGTTCAATAGCTGAAGTAAGGCGCCTTTCTAAATCGGCCCTTTCCAATGCCCACGTAAGCCTTTCATCTGCTGCACGGCGTCTTTCGTGTTCGAGTTGAGCCTAAAAATAATTTTAAAAATTTTAAAATAATTTAAATCCACAGATATTTCTCTTCTTTCTCGATCAACAGCATCCATTCTTTCTGTCCAATAACATTCTTGAGCCTTTTCCCTCTTCAATGCATTTTCCAATGATTTTTCCATTGTATCATCCAAACGTTCTTCCACATCTCTTAAACGAAGCTCGCATTTGCTTTTTTCCTTTAAATTAAAATATTTCAAGTTTTACAATTAAAGTTTGCAATTCAAGTTTGTAAAACAAGTTTTTATTTATATTAACCCAAGTGTTGTGTTATTTTTACAATTCAGGTTTTAAAAACAAGTTTTACAATTAAGTTCAAGCTTGTTTTAAACCAAGTTTAATTTAAGTTTTGCACAACAAGTTCTATAAAACAAGCCTTACAATTCAAGTTTTGTAAAACAAGTTTTAATATTCCAAGTTTTGTTATTTTTACAATTCAGGTTTTAAAAACAAGTTTTACAATTAAGTTCAAGCTTGTTTTAAACCAAGTTTAATTTAAGTTTTGCACAACAAGTTCTATAAAACAAGCCTTACAATTCAAGTTTTGTAAAACAAGTTTTAATATTCCAAGTTTTGTTATTTTTACAATTCAGGTTTTAAAAACAAGTTTTACAATCAAGTTTCTATTAATTCAAGTTTTTGCTAGTGCATGCTTATTTTACCCTAGTTTTATTAATGTTTTACAATTCGTTTTATAAATTCAACTAACACTTAGCGCCTTTTCAATCTCTGATTCAAGGATGGGTACTCGTTCTGCAATTCTGCCCAATTCTTCTATTCTGAATAAATTAATAAAATATAAAGAGAACACCCCAATTCCAACCTCCTTCTAAACAAATCCCTTTCAAACTGATGACTATCATCTTCTACTTTTGATCTCTTTGCAGCCTCGTCTAATTGACTAGCTAATGTATTTGTTAATTCTGTTTTGAGTAAAAGAATTCTTTCGATATCCGCTAATTGTTCTCCCATATGTGCTCGGTCCTCAGCAAATGTGCTTTGCATTACCTTAAGTGATTTTTACTCATAGACTGTTCAAGTTTGAACAAAAATCCCTTCCCTTACCCTTATTCTAATCTGCAATTCATCCATAGTTTTCTCGTTAATCCCCAAATCATCAACAGTTAGAGCTGTTTGAGTTCCCTGAGATTCTCTCACTGTAAATTCAAGTTCCTGTCTAGTTAAACTTTTCTTTATTCCTTCAGGAAGGGGCGGTTCATTTGCCAAAACAATTCCATTTTCTAATCCTAATTGTTCCAAAGCATAACATCGTCTTTCTAGATAAGCAAGCGCTTGTTCCAAATGGTCTCTTTCTGACTGTTTTTTATTAATTTTTAAGTTTAATTGGTATTATTAAACCTTAAGTTTGCGAAAAATAATTCAAGTTTTATTTAAGTTTTAAAAATTTAAGTATTGTAAAACAAGTTTTTAATATTCCAAGTTTTATTACTTCATGTTTTACAATTTTACAAATTCAAGCCTTATTAAAGTTTTACAATTCAAGTTTTAACTAAGTTTTAAAAATTTAAGTATTGTAAAACAAGTTTTTAATATTCCAAGTTTTATTACTTCATGTTTTACAATTTTACAAATTCAAGCCTTATTAAAGTTTTACAATTCAAGTTTTAACTAAGTTTTAAAAATTTAAGTATTGTAAAACAAGTTTCTAATATTCCAAGTTTTATTATTTCAAGTTTTACAACTTTACAAATTCAGGTTTTGTAAAAACAAGTTTATATTAATTCAAGTTTATTATCCCAAGTTTTGTTATTTTTACAATTCAAGTTCTATTAAAGTTTTACAATTCAATTATTGTAAAACAAGTTTAGAAAAACAAGTTTTAAATACAAAAATTTTACAAATTCAAGTTTTAAAAATTAAAGTTTTACAATTCACCTGTACTTGTTGTAAACTTAATTTAATAGCCTTGGCATCATTCCCTCTCCTTTCAGCTAATTCAGCCAATTCTTCATATTCTTTAACCATTTTTTCATTATTTACTTCAATATTTTTAAATTTATTTTCCGCCTCCAATTTGTTTTTATTTATTTCTGTTATTTCTTCCAACATTTTATTTATCTCTTCTGTTTGTTCGTTTAATTTTTTTCGAAGTTCTACACACCCAGAAATTTGACATTCAACAGGAGAACTTTGTTTTCTTAAAACTAGAGTTTGCTGCCTTTCTAATGTTGGATGACGGCTATTACTTTGTTGTTTATTTTTATTTTCTGGATTTTCTTCGGCTAAATTTGTCTCGTAAATTAATTTTATTTGTCAAAAAATGTTCCCTTCACACTACCCCTAATGCGAAGGGAACATAAAATTTTTTTATTCAATTTTCATCTGTTTTGTAAAAACTCACCCTCCACAAATTGCTCATTATCCTCTCCTACATTAATAAAAAGAGCACTTCCAATAGCTGTTCCTCCCCCACTTTCAGATACCCTTCTCGCCCCCTCTCGCAAAAGTAAATCCTGCATGATTAATTCTAAATTGGCACAACGAGTTCTCCAAACAGCTGTTTCTGCACGATAAGCCTTCAAAACGTGTTGTAAAAAATCAGAATTTAAATTGAAAATACTTCTAAAGTTGCCAAAACTTCAGCTCCTATTTGAACAACTGAGGCTTTATTAGGTGCTTGAATAATTTGAGGTTGTGTTACTGATCTAATAGAATCAGTTGTTGGAGACCTACTTACTTCTATTTTATTTTCTAATAATTTCCCATCATTTTCTTGTTGCCCTACAAACCCATTAATTGATGTAGAATCTTCTGTGATAATTATATTATCTGTTTGAGTTGATTGTTCTTGATGGGAAAGTTGTTCATAAGCCAATAGGGCTCTAAATTATTTTACTTCTCTACATTTTATTATAAAGGTGGAAAAATTAATTTTTGTTTTATAGAAAATGTTCCCTTCGCACTACTCCAGTGCGAAGGGAACATAGAATTTAAACGAGCTTCTTAAGGGCGAGCTTCTACTACTAGTAATATTATCATCCTCAAAGAACACATACTTATCTTTCCTAGCCAATTCAGCCCTTAAATCAACAATTTCTTGAACTAATTGTCTAACACGATGTTCATGACTTGCTATAAGTCCATCCATTTCAGTAACAAATTCCTGTTCCCTTTCTGATAACCGTTGGCTTAATTGGGCACAATATGCAAGTTGTGCACTCCTTCCAGACGAAACAATTGTTTCAATTTCAGCAAGTCTTTCACGTAACTGGCCTAAATGGCGCTCTTTCTCTTTGCAAGCAAGTTGGGCACGTCTATAATTAATTTGGATTTTTTTTATTTTTTAGAGAATGTTCCCTTCACATTACCTCTAATGCGAAGGGAACATAAAAAATTTATAATTTTTGGACGACCTTAATTCCTTTTTGAGAGCATCACTTTCTTCTTGACCAGCCTGTGCTTGTTGCTCTTCCTGAGGTTCAGACCGCTCCCCAAACCACCAATTCCCTACAATTTGTGAGACAACACTGGGATCAATGCCTTTATCCGTCTCTCCCCTACTAGATGAAGAAGGCTGTTCCTGAGGCGTTGTAGGAGGAGGTGGAAATGTTGTTTCTTTTATTTGCTTTTGTCTAAACATTTTTTAAATTTTGAAAAATTTATTTTTTTGTCACCTTATTAACGGCGAAACAATAGCTTCTGGTGGCTTTTTTCCTTCTCTTTTTCTCTTTTGTTTAGGCAAAATTTCCTCTTCTTTTTCCTTCACTTCTGTCTCTTCTAATTTTTGAATTTTTGGGGTACAAGTTTTCTCAACTTCATTAACACTATCAAAACTTTTATTTGCACCTCCTTCAGTTTCTACTGATCCACCAAAAACTTTAAATTAATTTTTATTAAGAAATCCTACAAACAAAAAATCCACCAGCATTCATTTCAGCAAATTCAACCCGTTGAGGTATTTTTTGTATTAATTGGGCCTCTAAAATATTCTCAGGCATTTTCTCTTCCAAACAAATTTCAGGAATATTTCCATCTTTTTTCTTGTCTTTTATTTGATCTTCTTTATTTTTAGACACTTTACTCTTTTTTTCAATTGGTTTTAAAAGTAAAGGTAAAAGACCGCTGGATGTTGGTTTGGTTTGCTTAAATTACAATTAAAAATCAGAATATCTGTATTTTTAACTAAATATTAATTGCTCTGAAATCAAAAAAATAAAATCAGAATTTATTTTGTAATCAGAATAAATTAAAAATTCTGATAATTAATTCAAAAAATCAGAATTTATTTGATAATCAGAATAAATTGAAAATTCTGATAATTAATTTAAAAAATCAGAATTTATTTCGTACAGAAATACAAAAAATCAGAATATTTGATAATCTGAAAAGTGAATCAGAACAAAAATCAGAGAATCTAATAAAAAATCAGAATTTAATTATTTTCCGGAAAATATTATGATAATTATTCTAAAGTCTGAAATCAGAATATATTGAAAATTCTGATAATTAATTTTAAAAAAATCAGAATTTTATAAAATACAAAAATCACAACTTACATGAAATGTGTGTGGTCTTCTTTTTAAAATGCCTTTCTTGGGTGTTTCTTTATTAGAATCTAAACCTTCAGTATTTAAATTCCCAGTACTGTGTCTTTGACGTGTTGACATTGTTTTGAAGTTTAATTTAAATTTTATTATGTATTTTTTGCATTATTGTTTACTTAAAAATATAAAATTCTATCATGATGTATTTTTTCCGGTTTGTATTTATGTCTATATTAAAATAGAAGGAGGGAAAAACACATTTCCGGAAAATACACTATAGATTATATATTTATGTAATATATGTGTTTTTCCGGAAAATACAACAGTTAATAACGAAAATACAAATTGGATTTTAATAATTTCCGGAAAATACATTATAAAAAATTTCCGGAAAAACACATACGTATTTAATAGAGTTGGTCACGGTACGGTATTACCGCGGTATTTTTCGGTAATACCGCGGTATTTTTTACCGAAATACCGATACCGCCTCAATCAAAAATACCGCGGTATTTGCATACCGAAAAAAAGTCCCATTTGAAGCGCACGTCCCAATAGAAGCGCAGTCTAGGAGGAGGTTGAAAAATACAAGCGCAGGTCCCATTAGAAGCGCACGTCCTATTATAAGCGCACCCTATGAAATACTTATTTGAGCAATTAATCTGTTAAATAGTCAATCTTCCCTTTGTACTACTTTCACATCAGAGGTGGGTCGGAACAGTCAGGGGTGTCGGAAATCGGAAGAGCCGGAAATCGGAACTGGCTCAAAAGTCGGAACTCGGAAAACGGAAATCAAAATTTTTTTCGGAAATCGGAAGGAAAAAACACCGGAAATCGGAATTCCGACCCACCTCTTTCACATAAACGATCTGATCCCTCTCTTTTCGAAAGATTTAAGGTTTTTTGAGTTATAATTGAGGAAAAACTTCTTTTCTATCTTGTCTAGGGGATGGAGTGGAAAAAGCTGGATGGATTATGCCCTCATAATCGAATATTTGAGAGCAATTATTGGGCAATCATTGTTCTTATAACGCTTGCTTATTTGGGTCACCACCAATGAAATTTTATTTGGGATGGATAGTTGAAGCATGAGATGTGATTTCAAAAGAAAATGTTGCAAAAGGCTTTTGGGTTTGTGGAATTTGAATTCCAGTGACGGTTCCGAAAATGATGAAATACATTGTTTTAGGCCAGATGGTCAGGCTTTATAAGCTTGAGAGGATAAAGAAATTTAAGAAAGTTAGGCAGAAATTGAGCTTAATGAGGATAATGAAAACTGAATTGAAATTGATAATTCTATAGCGATTTAATATTTGATTTAAATTTCTATAATGTTATTAAAATTAATTCGTATAGGAGTTGAAAAATACAAGCGCACGTCCCATTTGAAGCGCACGTCCCAATAGAAGCGCAGTCTACGAGGAGGTTGAAAAATAGAAGCGCATGCGCTTCTATTGGGAAAAATACGGTATGTATGTGTTTTTCCGGAAAATACAACAATTAATAACGAAAATACAAATTGGATTTTAATAATTTCCGGAAAATACATTAAATACGGAAAATACATTGAAATAATACTTGAAGAAAGTTTTTGTGTTTTCCGGTTATAGTATTTATTTGTATTTTCAATTTTTATAAAATGAGAGAGAAATACCCGTGTTTTCAAACCAAACCAGAATTGAGACAAAAAAAACTTTTTAAATGTTTTTAAAAATATAAAACTGAAACAAATGTTTTTATTAAAAAGAACAAACAGCTGATATTTATAATAAAAAATGTGTTTATTTAAAAAAGACTTTTGCATGTTCCTTATTTTTTAAAAATAAAGGGGAAATTATTTAATGACAGTTGTTGTTTATTTTTGTCTAAATAATTTTTTAAAGACGGAGAAAAAATTTTGCGTGAAAAAAAATTTTTTTAAATAAAATTTAATGCAAAATTTTTATTCAAAATTAAATTCTTCCATTTATAAAATGACAGAATTATGTAAAAATTAATTAAATAAAAAAATCCCGCCAATCAACGTTGGATTTTTTTATTCCTCCCTTTTAGGCTTTAATATTCGGTGAATTGTCCATTAGTAATTTTACTAGAGGCTTCGGGTTGTTTAATGCTGTTTCTGCAAAAAATTATTTTTACTATTTTAACATAATTTGGGATGTTTATTCCCAAGAATATAAATATTTAATTTTCCGGAAAATACATCCTCCGGAATATATGTATTTTGGTTAATATCTCTTAATGTGTTTTCTTCCGGAATATGTCTATTAATTATTTTTCCGGAAAATACATCCTCCGGAATATATGTATTTTGGTTAATATCTCTTAATGTGTTTTCCTCCGGAATATGTCTATTAATTATTTTTCCGGAAAATACATTCAGGAATTATCGTCCTATATTTAATAATATTTCTTGTATTTTCCGGAAAATAATTAAATTCCGGAAGTATTTTTCTGTTATATTTGAATATTCTCAAGTATTTCCGGAAAATACATTCCGGAACATATTCAGAAAGAAATATTAAATGAAAATACAAAAGAATAATGTATTTTCCGATAAGCATATTTGTAAGAATCCGTAAGTATTTTCTTTTAATACTTTTCCGGAATATTATTCCCGGAAAATGTATTTCTACTGATTATTTTGTGTTTCCGGAATTATTAGCTCACCTATTAATTTGTTTTGTAAATTTTGCTGTAAATTATTATTCACTTCATTCTTCTTTTCTCCCTCCTTATCAATGTTTGTACCAGGGGTGCAGCTCGTGCCACAAAATACGAGACACGAGATTTACGAGATACGAGATTCTCAAAAAAATACGAGAACGAGATAAAACGAGATACGAGATCTCTCAAAAAATACGAGATTTCACGAGATACGAGACCACGAGATACGAGATATTAAGTATTTTTTTCAAAATTAAACACACCTAAAATTGTAAAGCCGAAAATATGAGTGTTTGAATGGATAATGATTACAGCTGGATTATGAAGTATATTGGGGATTTAGAGGATCAAGGTGATTTATTGAGATATCGAGGATTACGGAGAATATCATGAGATTTGGAAGGATCAAGGAGAGGAAGGATCAAGGAGAGTTAAGTCTTCTCCAAATTCAACTTTTCCCTTTAATCAAATGATATTAAATGATTAATAGGGATATCGAGAGATATTTGGGAAGGTAGTAAGAAGTTTTTGGTAGTAAGAATATTTTTTGAATTATGGAAGCCAAGAAGCCAGATTTCTTCCTTTTTTAGCGCCGCAGGCGAAAATTTTAAGAATTTTAGGAGGACGTAGACCAAAAAATTCAACATTTCAGCGCCGTAGACGAAGATTTGAAAATTATGGATGGCCAAAAAAACAAGAATTCTTCATTTTCCAGCGCCGCAGGCGAAAATTTTGAGAATTTTAGGAGGACGTAGATAACTTCTGGCTCTTCTAATTTTTGGTTTTTTAAGCTACTTGTTTTTTCAACTTCATTAACACTATCAAAACTTTTATTTACACCTCCTTCAGTCTCTATTGATCCACCAAAAACTTAAAAATTAAAATTTAAAGAAATCCCACGAACAAAAAGTTCACCAGCATTCATTTCAGCAAATTCAACCCGTTGAGGTATTTTTTGTATTAATTGGGCCTCTAAAATTTTCTCAGGCATTTTCTCTTCCAAACAAGTTTCAGAAACATTGGAATCTTTTTTCTTGTCTTTTATTTGATCTTCTTTATTTTTAGACACTTTACTCTTTTTCTCAATTGGTTTTAAAAGTAAAGGTAAAAGACCACTGGATGTTGGTTTGGTTTGCGTAAATTAGAAATCAGAATATCTGTATTTTTAACTAATTAGTAATTGTTCTGAAATAAGGGAAAAAATAAAATCAGAATTTATTTTGTAATCAGAATAAATTGAAAATTCTGATAATTAATTTAAAAAATCAGAATTTATTTCGTACAGAAGTAAAAAAAATCAGAATATCTGATAATCTGAAAACTGAATCAGAACAAAAATCAGAGAATTTAATAAGAAATCAGAATTTAATTATTTTCCGGAAAATATTATGATAATTATTAATTGTTCTGAAATCAGAATAAAGTTGAAAATTCTGATAATAAAGAAATCAGAATTTTAATAAAATACAAAAATCAGAACATACATGAAATGTGTGTGGTCTTCTTTTTAAAATGCCTTTCTTGGGTGTTTCTTTATTCGAATTTAAACCTTCAGTAGTTAAATTCCCAGTACTGTGTCTTTGACGTGTAGACATTGTTTTAAGTTTAATTTAAATTCAAATTATTTTCTGCATTATTGTATTCCCTTAAAAATACAGGATTCTATCAAAATTGTATTTCTTCCGGTTTTGTATTTTATTTCTAAATTAAAATAAAAGGGGGAGAAACACACATTTCCTGAAAATACATTATAAAAAATAGTCTGGGTTTAAATTTTATTATGTATTTTTTTGAATTCCGGAAAATACACTTAATACGCTTATGTGTTTTTCCGGAAAATACAACAATTAATAACGAAAATACAAATTGGATTTTAATAATTTCCGGAAAATACATTAAATACGGAAAATACATTGAAATAATACTTAAAGAAAGTTTTTGTATTTTCCGGTTATATTTATTTGTATTTTCAATTTTTATAAAATACGAGGGAAAATACCCGTGTCTTCAAAACAAAACAAAATTGAGACAAAAAAACTTTTTAAATGTTTTTAAAAACATAAAACTAAAACAAATGTTTTTATTAAAAAGAACAAACAGCTGATATTTATAATAAAAAATGTGTTTATTTAAAAAAAGACTTTTGCATGTTCCTTATTTTTTAAAAATAGAGGGGAAATTATTTAACGACAGTTGTTGTTTATTTTTGTCTAAATAATTTTTTAAGGCCGAGAAAAAAAATTTTACGTGGAAAAAAATTTTTTTTAATAAAATTTAATGCAAAATTTTTATTCAAAATTAAATTCTTCCATTTATAAAATGACAGAATTATGTAAAAATTAATTTAATAAAAAAATCCCGTCAATCAACGTTGGATTTTATTCCTCCCTTTTAGGCTTTAATATTCGGTGAATTGTCCATTAGTAATTTTACTAGAGGCTTAGGATTGTTTAATGCTGTTTCTGCAAAAATAATTTTTACTATTTTAAAAAAATTTGCGGATGTTTATTCCCGAAAATTATATATATATATATATATATATATATATATATATATATATATATATATATATATATATATATATATATATATATATATATATATATATATATATATATATATATATATATATATATATATATATATATATATATATATATATATATATATATATATATATATATATATATATATATATATATATATATATATATATATATATATATATATATATATATATATATATAGTATTTTTCTGTTATATTTGAATATTCTCAAGTATTTCCGGAAAATACATTCCGGAACATATTCAAGAAATATTCAATTAAAATACAAAAGAATAATGTATTTTCCGGTAAACATATTTGTAATAATCCGGAAATATTTTCTTTTAATATTTTTTTTCCGGAATATTATTTCCGGAAGATATATTTCTACTAATTATTTTGAATTTCCGGAATTATTAGCTCACCTATTAATTTATTCTGTATATTTTGCTGTAAATTATTTACTTCATTCTTCTTTTCTCCCTCCTTATCAACGCTGTTACCATCTTTTAAATCGCTTACCGGCTTCTCAATGTTGCTATTAATATTCTCTTTATGTTTAATTTTTTCTTCTTCCAAGTGACTACTTTTTGGGTTTTTTAGACTATTAAGTTGACCATCTTTTTGTCCACTATGTTCAGCTATTTTATTTTCTTTCTGGCCCTTTTCACCTTTCTCCTTTTCTGCTTGATGACTTTCTTCCTTTTTAACCTCAACTTTATTATTAGGGCTATTAATTCTACCCCTTCTTTCAGCCGGCTCCACTTTTTTATTTTTCTTAATTTCTTTCGAATCGGCCTTATGTTTTGAATTGTCTATGTGTTCTGCATGATGTTCCTGTTTTTGTTTCGAATTGTCTTTGTGTTTCGAATCTTCCGTGTGTTTCGAATTGTCCTTGTGTTCTGCATGATGTTCCGGTTTTGCTTCGTTATGTTTTTGTTGTTCATTATGATCAGGCTTTTTGTTATTATTTGGATGTTGTTTTTTGGAAGCACTTGGAGCCTTGTAGGTAACTGAAAATATTAATTTAGTCAGAATAAAAAATCAAAATTTATTCTTTCGTTGTGTTTTCCGGAAAACATTTACAGATTTCATAATTTGTATTTTCAGGAAAATAAAATATATTTAAAAAAACACAATGTTTTCCGGAAAATATTATTTATAGTTCAGAATATTTTCTAATGTATTTTCCGGAAAAATTAATAAAAATACAATTTGTATTTTTGTATTTTCCGGAATAGTTAAGTATATTCCTGAATATAAAATACATTTTGTATTTTCCGGAAAATACTATTTAATTTTATTATTCATTACCTCCCTCAATTACATGTTCAGTTCCTTTACACCTTTTAATTATTTGATCAATTACTTCACTTTTTTGTTCAACAGTAAAAATATGTGTAACATGTACATCTTCCCCCTCATCCATTTTCATTAGTTTTGTTTGTTCTTTATTTCCTGTTTTTAATTTCCTCATCAAAAATAATTTTCCATGACCGCCACAAACTTCCTAAAAAATTAAATTTTTATTAAAAAATTGGTATACACCAGACCAGGACACGGATTTTGGTATCCGTATCCGGGTAGTTACGGCGGATACAGACGGATACAGGCGGATATCCTCAGGCATTTTGGTATTATCTGTATATTCGTATCATCCGTATCCATGACCATGTCTGGTATACGCCTGTTATTAGTAAAAAGGAAAAAATACATCAAGAAACCATTATTTCCGGCAAGCTTAATTAAATTCAATACATATTCCGGAAAACACATATTTATATTTTTAAAATTAAATTTGGCCGGAAAACAAAGTCTGCTTCCGGAAAACGTTTAATTCTCTCTTGTTATTACCTTTCGACACAAAAATATTTGATAATAATGATTAGCCGCCATAGCAGAACAATGCTTATTTTTACCCAAGAAGGGCTTAATCACCATCACGACAGATTTTTTATTTGAATTAAACTCTTCATAATCCTTCCATACAATTTTATTCTTTTTTTCTCCTCGCAATACAAGAGTAATATGTTTAACTGGTATTTTCATTTTTGCAGCTTTGTCTTTTTCACAATTTTGTTTAATTTGTGCTTGTCCTGCATGATAAACATGTTCTCCTTTGCTCTTTAAAATAAATTAAAATTAATTTGAATAATTAAAAAAATTACTTGTATTTCCGGAAAATACATTATAGAAAATACTCCGAGTGAATATTTAAATAATTATTTTTCCGGAAAATACAACAGTTAAATAAATAGGTAAATAATTCTGATCTTAAACAATTTCCGGAAATATATTAATGAGAAAATACAGAATATTTCGGAAAATACATTAATGAGAAAATACAGAATATTCCGGAAAATACATTAATGAGAAAATACAGAATATTCCGGAAAATACATTAATGAGAAAATACAGAATATTCCGGAAAATACATTAATGAGAAAATACAGAATATTCCGGAAAATACATTAATGAGAAAATACAGAATATTCCGGAAAATACATTAATGAGAAAATACAGAATATTCCGGAAAATACATTAATGAGAAAATACAGAATATTCCGGAAAATACATTAATGAGAAAATACAGAATATTCCGGAAAATACATTAATGAGAAAATACAGAATATTCCGGAAAATACATTAATGAAAAAATACAGAATATTCCGGATTGTACATACATATATTCATTAAATTTAATAAAATACAATCCGGAATATTCTAATTAATGTATTTTCCGGAGTTTATTAAATCAGAATTAATTTTCATTATTTCCGGCAAATAATACCGTGTCCTAAAATTACTCTATTTAATTATTAAAATAATTCTGCCCATAAAATTTTCAAGAAAATACACAAATATTTTTTAAATAAACTTACAAAGAAAAGTATTTGAGTTGGACTTAATTCGACATGTTTCACAAGTGTTTCGATATTATTATCTCGTTTTACTGCACACTCCTGGAAGAGTTTGTTTTGTTTGAGTTTAACTCCATTTTCAGTTTTACTACTTGGATGGACTGAAATAGAAAATATTCTGATTTTTTAGAAATTTTTTTTCTGATTTTTTATTCTGATTTTAATTCTGATTTTTTGTTCTGATTTTTTATTCTGATTTTCATTCTGATTTTTACTATTCTGATTTTTATTATAAAAATCAGAATTTCTGATTTTTACAAAATTCTGATATATACCTTCTTTCAACTCATATACTTTGCCACATCCGTGATGCTTCAAACATTCAAAGCTATAATCCATTTTCGAATAGAAAATATTTTTAATCCCATTATCCTTTCCATATCTCTCAACTAGTACCATTTTTACTTCACAATCTTCTCTCTTGCATACATAACTTAATTTTAATTTTTTAAATTTATTTAATTCTTATCACTAATTTAAAAAATATTTTTTGGAATTATTAGATAGAGAATTAAATTGGCTATAAAATAAATTTAATTCAAAAATTTAAATAAATTGGAAAAAAAAAGTTATAGACGAAAAAGTAAGAAACATGTAGTTTTTGGAGGCTTTTTACTCTAAAATTTGTTATCAATCTTTAAAAAATTTTTTTTTCTTTTCCTCAATTATATAGCAAATTTAATTAGCAATTGAATGGTATATGAAACGATTTTGAAGATTAATCCATTGGCGTGATATAGAACCCAGAAGACGCGTGGTTAGGGTACATGTTTAAGTTCAAGCTAAATTATATTAATTAATATTTTTTTATTTTTTCAAAAAATTACTTAAAAATTAATTTTAAACAATTCTCCACATTTTTAACCTCATTTTAAAATAATTATAAATATTCAAAATTTACTCACTGTTCAAAATGGTGCGCAGTTTTATGATTAACTAAATGACTCCTTACACATTTTCCTTCAGAATTCTTTTTTAAATTTAATTTAAAATCTTCAGTAACTTTAAATTCTGTAACTCCTTCGTCTTTTAATTTGCACCTTGTTTCAACAATATGTTTTGCATAAATTTTTATATTTGCATCTTTATCCTCGGCACATTTGCTAATTAATGATTTGCTCCCAATAAATACATCGTCTGATAAACCCTTAAAGAATATTCTGATTTTTATGAGAAATAAATTCTGATTTTTATTTCCAAAAATTCTAATTTTTTCTGATTTTGTTTCTGGAAATTCTGATTTTTATAAAATAAAAATTCTGACTTTTCAAAGAATTCTGAAAAATAATTTCTGATTTCTATTTCTGAAAATTCTGATTTTTATAAAATAAAAATTCTGATTTTAAAAAATTCTGAAAAAAAATTCTGATTTTTTCTGATTTTTATTTCTGAAAATTCTGATTTCTATAAAATAAAAATTCTGATTTTTTCTTTCAAAAAATTATTCTGATTTATATAAATTCTGATTTTATTAAACTTACAAAAAACAGAGCATTATTAATATATTTCATTCTAGCATATGAATGTACTGTTTGAAGGACAGATGCTTTCTGGCCAGGTTTTATTCTCTCCTTAATTGCGCATTCAAGAAAAATTTTGTGTAATTTTGGTTGAGGATTATTTTCCCCAGCATCCTTTACTTTAATTTCTGATTTAATTTTGTTGTCAGAATTTTTTAAATTTTCATTCGGTTTAGGTTTTTCATGGGGAATAAGAGCTTTCTCTTCCTTTCCAAATAAATGCTTATTTTCTTGTGATATTTTGTTTGGGGGTTGATTATGGTTTTTTGCCTCTAACAATTGTTCATGTTGCGTTTCTATTCGAAAATAACACGGTTGTAATTGCAATAGTAGAAGAAATAATATAATTAATGTTAAAGACATTATTAATTCTGATTATTCTAAAATACGTTGATTTATGTATTTTAATGTGTTTTCCGGAAATAAATTTAATGTGTTTTCCGGAAATAAATTTAATGTGTTTTCCGGAAATAAATTTAATGTGTTTTCCGGAAATAAATTTAATGTGTTTTCCGGAAATAAATTTAATGTGTTTTCCGGAAATAAATTTAATGTGTTTTCCGGAAATAAATTTAATGTGTTTTCCGGAAATAAATTTAATGTGTTTTCCGGAAATAAATTTAATGTGTTTTCCGGAAATAAATTTAATGTGTTTTCCGTAAATAAATTTAATGTGTTTTCCGGAAATAAATTTAATGTGTTTTCCGGAAATAAATTTAATGTGTTTTCCGGAAATAAATTTAATGTGTTTTCCGGAAATAAATTTAATGTGTTTTCCGGAAATAAATTTAATATGTTTTCCGGAAATAAATTTAATGTGTTTTCCGGAAATAAATTTAATATGTTTTCCGGAAATAAATTTAATGTGTTTTCCGGAAATAAATTTAATGTGTTTTCCGGAATTTTAATGTTTTCCGGAAATATAATATCTTCAGCCGTAAAATTAATTTACTTTATTGTATTTTCCGGAATAAAAATACATTATAGTTATGTTCCGGAAAGTATTTCCGCTTTAATTCAATATACATACCTAAAAGTTATCCGGAATTTTTATTTAATTTAGTGGGAATGTGCTTTCCGGAATATACATACATACTTTATATTAAATTTATTTGTGTATTTTCCGGAACAGAATTATATTTATTGTATTTTCCGGAATAAAAATACATTTTTAAATATATTCCGGAAAATATTTCTGCTTTAATATATTTCCGGAATTTTTATTGAAACTAAATGTATTTTTTGTGTTTTCCGGAATATATTTTCTCGATAAATTTATTCTTGTATTTTCCTTCCGGAACAGAATTATATTTAATGTGTTTTCCGGAATAAAATATGCATTATAATTATATTTAATTTATTAATTAAAAAACATAAAAATATAATTTATTTAATTCTGAAAAATTTTCCAGCCAAAATACATTCTAATTTTAAGCTTATTTTTCAGATAATGGTTTTATTGAAGTATTTCTTTATTGAAGGATTTGTCTTTCAAGAAAAACTTTTTTCTCTCAATTCTCTCTCATTCTATCTAATTTTGATTAAACAGCAGATTTTTTATTTTTTTTTTCTCATTTAAAAAAAATTTTCCCCCTCAATTTACGCAATTAATTTTTAAATTTCCTTTGATGCTCTCCAAGCTATTTTAAAATTTTTAAAGCTAAATAAATATTTAAATTGAAACTAAAAATAATAGAAAAGGGATAATAAAGTAGTTGTGAAATTGTGGATATGCAAAATATTTTTTTCATTGATTTTTTAAATAAATTTAAAAATAGAGACCTTCTTAATTATTTTGTTCCTTGGAATAAATGAATACCGTATAATCTGTATTAATTGCCTTCCCTCAAATAATTACGCCATTTCCATTAATTACCCCATCCAGCGATGGTTTGAAACAATACAATAATTACCCAGGGTAGATATTAAAGGATATACGGTGACGTTTGGCACATCTGAGAGGTTGGCAAATTTAATCAACAAATTTTAATTTTTTTTTAAAATTTTTATCAATCAAAAATTGTTGCGAAAATTATTTTAATAAGAATAATAATTTTTTTCTTATCAATTTTTTTGTTTAATATTTTTCCTCTTTTTTATATTTTATTTCGATTTTTAATTATAATTTTGTTTACTTAATAAATTAATTAATTTTTTTACCAAATCTGTGGACGTTTTATTCACAAAGATCCCCTCTAAATTGTCCACAAAAGTTCAAAAATTTGTCCACAAAATTCTTATGAGTGCTGACGAAAATAAATTAATACGTAAAAATGTCAGTTATAATCGCTCATGGATTTTCTCGTCAACTGATTTTGAAAAATGGAAACGACGATTTGATAAGGCGAAGAAGAACTGGCAGAAGTATGTAAGGGTTTTAATGGGGAGTAAAATTCTGGTATTTAAGGAGAGATTTTTTCAGAATAATAAATAATTTTGTATTTTCCGGAATGTAGTTTTAATATATGTATTTTCCGGAATTTTAAATTTAATGTATTTCCGGATATTGAATTTAATTCCGGTATTCTTTAAACAAGTGAATATCTATTTTCCGGATGAATATATGTATGTAAATTTATTTCCGGATTTTTATTATTTTCGGAATTAATTAAATGTATTTGTTTTCCGGAATGTATTTTTAATTTTAAATATAAATTTCCGGAATTTTAAATGCTTTTCCGGAATGCATTTTTAATTTATTTTCCGGAATTTTAAATATAATATATTTCCGGATATTGGATTTAATTCCTGAATTATTTAAACAAGTGTATTTGTATTTTCCGGATGCATATAAATTTATTTCCGGATTTTTTTTATGTATTTTTGCCTATTTCCGGAATTAATTAATTAATTGTACGTATTTTCCGGAAAGTTAATTCCCCTCATAAATTTATTTTAAATTAATATTTTTGTATTTTCCGGAATTACAAAGCATTTTTTATGAATTAATATTAAACTGTGTTTTATGAAAATACGGTAAAACATTTTCCGGAAATCTTATATGTATTTTTAAGGAAATACACTCGCGATTCTTTTACTTGGTACAATCACAACTGTATAAGAAAAAAGAAGAAATGCAAATATTCAAAGTCTGAGGACAATTCGTGTAGAGGAAAATGAAAATTCCGGTAATACCAAAAGCAGACGGACTTGGCTTTTATAGAATTGAGCTTACTGAGGATGGTTTTGAACATTTTGTGTCAGAATTTGAGGATGATGATGACGACTATAAAAATTTTATTTATGAATTTTTTAAAGAAGTTAATAGTTATAAGAAAAATTCTAAACAATCAACTACTGTAAACGCGAGTATGGTAGAATTTTTTTATGTTTGTTGATTGACATGGGGGTTTTAATGAAGCATAGAGGCCATCTCTATCCTTTTAAATATACCGTAATGTTTCTAATAGAAGCCTATCTCCAATAGAAGCCCATGCCTTATTAAAAGCCCACTCAATAAAGGTATTGAAAAATATAAGCCCAGGGCTTCTATTAGAAACATTACGGTAATTTGAGACGAATTCCCTGTTATCGAGAATCTTCTCCGATCTCCATGTCCACTACCTATCTATAAACTTGAAATATTTGAGTAATAAAAGTTTTATTCTTTTTTATCCATCAACGAGTGGTACGAGTGTTCAATCTCAGAGTGACCAAATAATAAATGAATTTGCCGAATTATCCGAAAGAATGAAGAGTGTAAGAATAACTCAACCTCGTCAGATTGCTACTACTAAAGGTATGTTTAGGGTTCAATCAAGTTTCCATGAGAATATAATTGTGTAAGAAAGGGGGAGAAAATTTTCCTTAATTAGGTCCCAGGCTGTTCTATTATCGGGATTCCACCTTAATACCAAATTAAAAATCACTTTCATATAGAAACTCATCCACCAGAGATAATAAGTGTTTCTGAGGACAGCGACCGAATTCAATGGGCAAAGGTCAGAAGCAGCAATCCAAATTTAAAAATGGTTATAGCTAGATGCACAGTTGGTTTGGACGTGGATAAAGATTTCTATTATAACTATAGGGCTATGATCAGTTTAAAGTTCCTACAGATTGGTGTTTATCATCACTTTTTTGGAGGACAGAATTCCCCCACCCCGGAAGAACAGTTTCAATTTTTGAAGAAAATACTTGAAAATGCTGGATTTGATAAGAAAAATCATTTAATTGGTATTGCTGTGCAAACAGGTATTTCTAAAGGTGAAAAATATTATTAATGCTGACTTGTCCTCCACAAGGAATTTTGGGCATTAAGAGGGATATATGTGGATTAGGAGGAATATCCAAAGATATGTAGTAATTAAGAAGTCTGGAGGGATAATGAGTTGGTTACCTACCCATCTTCTTATACTACGGTATTAAGGATGCGTATTAAGGATTGGCCCTCCTTCGTATTAAGGAGGGCCAATATACCTTCAAATCTAGATATCCACTTAATCTCACGAAAATTCCTGTCTTACATCTCTAGGTCCATTCATCTCACGCCCAATTCACCAGTGCTGTGAAATTTCAGAACCTCTAAAATGAAGGCATGAGAAGGAAAGGAGAATGAAAAGAGGACATAAAAGTGTACCGAGAAAGAATAATATACTCTCGTTTGAGGTTTGCGGATCTGAATATCCGCTCTATCCCGTTACCTTGAAGATATAGCGGAAGATGCTATTTATATTTGATATATTTAGAATACAATGCCGATGCCGATCCTGTCCAATTTACAGCAAATCTGTCCATTTTCGTAGATCTTCTGCTCAAAAATGGGTTTATGCTTCCTATAATTTATTGCAATAACAACTCATGGAAGAAATTAATAGACACAACGGAGGTGGATGAACAGTTTAGCAAATTGCCTCTCTGGATTGCCCATTACACCCAAGATCCAAATCCCGAATATCCAGAGACTTGGAAATCGAGAGGGAAAAAATGGTGGATGTGGCAATATTCGGACAAGGAAGTAATGGAGGGAATGATCAATCCTGTTTATTGTAGTAGAAGAAATAAATTACACTTTATTCATGATAAAATGTTTCGTAGTGCTGTTTAATTTTTTTGAAATAAAATCAAGATTAGAAACTTTTTTATAAATCGCTACATTATATTAAGGTTGTTTTCCGAAATAAAAATAAATTTTTAGTTTAATTTGTTTTCATAAAATATTTAAAAAAAATTTCTTCCTCTCTTCCATTAATTACTGACAGCAATACCAAGCATACCCACTAGAACAACAAGTACTTCCAGCATAACCGGGAGCGCTGTAACAATTTCCCCAACCACAACTACATATTGCGCCACATAATCCTCGTCGTTTGCGTGCTTTAGCACCATTCGAACCAAAAATTCCAAAATCTAATTTTTTTTGTAAATTTTTTATTATAAAATCTTTTGTGTTTTTAAATAATGAATAGTTGATATTTTCTGTAAACTTTTTTTAAATATCTTTTCCGGAAAAATAATTCAACAAATATAATTAACCTCCGGAAACACATTTAAATTTTCCCGAATTATTTAATATTGTTTTCGAAAATATAATATAATTTATTTTCTTTGATTTAATTAAATGTCTTTGTATTTTCCGGAGACAAATAATTAATCTTTACATATGTGTTTTTATTCAGATTTTTCCGTAATTATGTATTTAACAGAATGTGTTTTCCGGAATATTTACATAAAATAAATGTATTTTATCTTGATAGAATTATATTATTTTTGTATTTTCCTGAAACTTGTTTATTTGAATAAAAAGTGTTTTCCGGAAAATAATTAGATAATTAATTGATTGCTTATTTTTCGAATTTAACAGAATGTGTTTTCCGGAATGAATAAATAAAATTTTATATAAAATATTTCAATATAATTTACCGGTTTTGTATTGGCCATTCTTTTGTAAGTTTCCAAAATTTTCTTCCATGTGGCTTAAAGCTACCACAACCATAACGACCATTAAGACGGCGAAAATTTCGAAGGCTTTCATTTTGGGTGAGAAAAGATTTTTTAAAATTTAATTTGCTTTAGTTTTAGAGTTTTTAAGTGTTAAAATCAAAGCTTTACACTCTCTTTTTATTAGGATTAGTGTGGACAAATTCATTGTTTGTTAGAATATTGGGGACAAAAAATGTTAAAAATATTTAGAAAAATATTTTGATGAAAATTTCTTTGTTTTTCGAATGAGAAGGAATATAGAAGATTATTTTTGAACTGGAAAATAAAAAAATAAAAACAAAAAAAATTAAAAAATAAATAAACAATAAAGAGTAATTAATCTTTTACTTATGTACTCTTGCGATAATTTAGGGGAAAAATAAATATAAATATTATTATAGGCAAAAATTAAAAATTAAAAGAGTTGAAACAACAATTGTTGCCAAATAATAAATAAAAATAATTTTTTTCTTATCAATTTTGTTGTTTAAAATCTTCCCTTTTTCCTTATTTTATTTTAATTTTTTTGATTATCATTTTTGGTTATTTAATTAATTATTTTGTCCAATCTGTGGACGTTTATTTACAAAAATCCCCTTTAAATTGTCCACAAAAGTTCAAAAATTTGTCCACAAAATTCTTATGAGTGCTGACGAAAATAAATTAATACGTAAAAATGTCAGTTATAATCGCTCATGGATTTTCTCGTCAACTGATTTTGAAAAATGGAAACGACGATTTGATAAGGCGAAGAAGAACTGGCAGAAGTATGTAAGCGTTTTAATGGGAGAAAAACTCTGGTATTTAAGGAGAGATTTTTTTCAGAATAGTAAATATTTTTGTGTTTTCCGGAATGTATTTTTAATTTATTTTCCGGAATTTTGAATACTTTTCCGGAATATATTTTAAATTTTATTCCGGAAGTATGTAAATAATTGTACGTATTTTCCGGAATGTTAATTCTCCTGAATTTATTTAAACAAATATTTTTGTGTTTTCCGGAATTATTCAAATAATTTACGTATTTTCCGGAATTTTAAATATAGTATATTTCCGGATATTGAATTTAATTCAGGAATTATTTAAATAAGTGTATGTGTGTATTTTTTGGATACATATAAATTTCCGGATTTTTTATGTACATATTATTTCCGGAATTATTTAATTAACTGTATGTGTTTTCCGGAATGCTTACTCCTTTATAAATTATGTATTTCTTGGAAAATACACTGCATACCTATTTTAAAATGTGTTTTCCGGAATAAAAATATTTAATAATTTTTTTCAGAATATTAGGTATAGATGGATAAATAATTTATGAAAATACGCTATAACACTTTCCGGAAATTTTATATGTATTTTTAAGGAAATACACTCGTGATTCTTTTATTTGGTATAATCACAACTGTATAAGAAAAAAGAAGAAATGCAAATATTCAAAGTCTGAGGACAATTCGTGTAGAGGCAAAATGAAGATTCCAGAAAAACCGGAAGGGGAACGATTTGGCTTTTATAGAATTGAGCTTACTGAGGATGGTTTTGAACATTTTGTGTCAGAATTTGAAGAGGAGGATGATGACTATGGAAATTTTATTTTTGAATTTTTTAAAGAATTTAATAGCAATAATACTGTAAACGAGGTTACGGTAGGAAAAATTTTTAGAGTTGCTGACTTGGGGCATTTAATATGGCAAGGAATATTGGGAAATTATAACTAGAGATCGGAATGAGACGATCGTTTGAAAGCCTTAGTTATTAACATATCAACCTTGAACCCCTATTGATCCTTAAGACATATAGCTTCCCGAATAGCTTAATAATAAAAAACTTTTCATCCTTCAACGAGTGGCTCGAGTAGTACTAGTCTTGGTGGTCAATCTCAAAGTGATGAAGAGAAAAAAATGTGGGATGAACTGTCCAAAAGGCTCATGAAGAGTGTGCAAATATCAGCACCTGTTCGAGTTCCTCCTACTAGGAGTAAGTTTGAAAATTGGGTTAAATTAACTTCCACAGGGAAGGGAACGAGAAGAGATGCGATGATACCCCCAGCTTAAGAAACCTTAAAAAATTTGGTAGGCCTCTGGATGGGGGATCTATCCAAGCGAGACCTCATTATCTAAAAGTGAACCCTCGTACCCTAGACGGAACATTGTTATAAGCCCTTATTCCATAATGAAATCTGACTCTATAAACTTGCTAAAATCACATTTATAGCCCATCCACCAGAAAGTATAAGTGTCTCCGAAGATAACGACCGAATTCAATGGGAGAGACTTAGAAGCAATAATCCCAACATAAAAATGGTTATAGCTAGATCCAGCATTGGTTTAAACTTGGATAAAGAATTTTATTATAATTATCGGTCAATGATTAGTGTTAAGTTTCTACAGATTGGTGTTTATCATCACTTCCTTGGAGGGCAAAATTCGCCCACCCCGAATGAACAACTTGAATTTTTGAAAGATATACTTGCAAATGTTGAATTTAACAAGAAAAGGCATTTGATTGGGATTGCTGTGCAAACAGGTATTATGTCCTCTAACTAAAATTTGTGTTCCCTTCGCACTATACATGGTTCGTAGGGAACATATTTTTTAAAGATTAATAAAGCAATGGAAAGGCTTTAAAAACATTTTTATTTTATCCATGTCAATGCTAATATTTTTAAGAGTATAATGCCGATGCCGATCCACTCACTTTTACAGCAAAACTGTCCATCTTCGTAAATCTTCTGCTCAAAAATGACTTTATGCGTCCTCTCATTTATTGCAATAACAACTCTTGGGAGAAATTAATTGATCCAACTGTGGCGGATGAATTATTCAGCAGATTACCTCTTTGGATTGCTCGTTACACCGACGACCCTTTTCCCCAGTATCCAGAAACTTGGAAATCTAGAGGGATAAAATGGTGGTTGTGGCAATACAGTGAACTTGGAGTTGTGGATGGAATAATTAATCACGTTCACTATAATAGACGGAATAAATTTTATTTTATTCAAGACGATATGTTTCGTAGTGCTGTTTGATTTTTTTAAATAAATTAAAATTGTTGAGAGAATTTTGTGAAAGAATTAAAATAAAAATTTATTGAAGGGAAATTAGAGATGTTCCTTTCGGCCTATAAGTAGAGCGTAAGGAACATAATTTGAAAATCAACAAATAATTATTTTTTATTCAGTTTCTTTAGCATATTCTACTAGTCCTCAATCTGCTGCCAGCTCCTAAACGTATCCCCAAGTTGTATTTTTCTTCTGGAAAGGCTGACAAATCATAACGTGTGATTAACCAACACTGAAAATATGAGTAAGACTAAGCCTACGCAAAACTTTACAACTTTAGAATGAATGAACCTTTTCTGAAAATTTGAAAACCTTTCGATAAAGGAGATAATGAGCTACAAAATAAATTTTAAAATTTAATTTTAAGTTAAAATTTGCAAAAGTTATGGAAGGAAAACATGATAAAGTAGACAATTTGTCCAGTTTTTAGTCTGCACTCTTTTTTATCTATAAAATTAAAATTAAATTTTATAGTTCATATTATAGCCCATTTTCTCCTCTATCAAATGCTAAACAAAATCTTCTCAGATGCTTTATCCATTCAAGAGCTATAGTGTTTTAGATTTAGAGGGTCACGCCCTCCAGAATATTATTTTAATTAAATTTTAGGGCATAAATTCAATTATTCCCTAATTAAATTTTATCACCTCCTGCCCAATTTTTTCTTCTAAATTTCCAATACATTTGTGTTTAATTAATAAATAAGGTTCTAAATCAGCTATTCCAAAAAATTCAGATGACGTTTTTGCATTTAATTTGAAAGTACCATCATTTAAGCTCAATGTTTCGCCTAGAAAATCATCTCCATCTAAAGTTAAACCAAACGGGAGTTTTATTCGAGCTGGAAAGTTTTTTCAGAAATTAAAAAAAATAAAATTTTAAAATGTTCTCTTCACACTACAAGTAATGCGAATGGAACATCTCATGAAGGAACATGAAATTATTTTTAGAAACTCTCCACAAAACTTTCTGCCCTATGTAGAGGCCAAATCTTATTTTTCTATCTTTTCTAAACCCCCAATCTTAAAATCACCATCTTCATCCCAAAGCTGTATTTGAGCCTCAGATATAGGCGTAACTCTGACTTGTGAAGGAATTTTTGAAATGTTTGAAGGAATAAAAGCCATACATTCTAATTTACCACTAATTTTGTAATTTAATTGGGGGAATATTTTAAATGGGTAAATATAAGAGGATAAATTAATTAATAAAAATATAGTTAAAAATATTTTTATTTCATCCATTTTTATTTAATAAACAAAAAATTCGTATTTTTGCAATTTATTTTATTTAAATAGCAACCGCAAAAAAATGACTAATTTAAAAAATATTTAAAGGTGATATTTATGTATATTGAGGAAGTAAAAAATGCAAACAAAATTTACTAAAAATAAAATTGCCCTCATTGTACCGTTCCCTTATGCATTATTTGTAGAGTGAAGGGAACACATAATTAACTGGAAAGAATTTAATTGAAAATCAAAGAATAAAACTTGTTTTACAAATTGTTTTACAATTGTAGCCTGTTTACAATTGTAAATGTTTTTACAAACTTTTTACAAGAATATTTATTAAACTTGTTTTAAATAGTACAACAACTAATGTTTTTGCAACTTTAATGTTCTGAACAAAGTTTAATAAGAAATTCGTTTTTAAAACTTGTTTTACAATTGCAGTTTACAATGTTCGTTTGAGTCAAATGTTTTTATACTTTTTGCGAACATTTACAAAACTTGTTTTAAAGAATTAAACCTCCTAACTTTTAATAAACTTGTTTTACACACAACAAATTTAATGTTTAGATCGGTTTAATTAATAAATTAATGTGTTTCAACATGTTTTACAATTGCAGCCTGTTTACAATTGTCAATGTTTTTACAAACTTTTTTACAAGCATATTTATTAAACTTGTTTTAACCACTAAAACTTAAAAACCTTAATGTTTTGAACAAAGTTTGACTAAAATAGGTAATTTATGTTTTTACAACTTGTTTACAAACAAATACAAACCTACAACAGAAATTACAATTTTTAACAAAACATTTACAATTATATCTTTTATTTATTTTTTATTTATATTTCTCTTCTCAAACATCCACTCATATTTAGAACGCTCTATGGCCATGCGAATGTTCAACAGCTCGGTCAACAAACGAACATTGGCGGTCACAGAGAAGACGATAACGACGACAATAGCTTGCAGCCATATCACATATTAAACTACTAAAAATAAAATTTTAAAAATTTTTCACAAAAAAATTTTTTTTTCTGACCGTCCAAGTTCATCCACCCAAAACAACCAATCGGCAAATCGCCAAACAAAACCGCCAGTAGTGCTCAGAATGAAATGAAGCGGAGGCCAAACCCAACCAGCAACGCTTGCCAAAATAGAGGCGAATATTGAATGAAGAACTCCAAGGCACAAATAGGCGAATATGATAGCCAAAGGATAGAACAACAACTTGAAAATTACGAAAAAATTATTTTTATTCTAAAAAATTGAGTTCACTTTATGGTCCAAAACATAGTTGCCAGCCTCAAACATCAGCCTAACAATTTTGACGAGAATATTCCAAAGTTGAACACAACAATCAAAGCCCTCTTCATTACCAGCTGCTTCTGTTGACATACTGAAAAATAATAAAACTTTGTTTTTAGAGATGTTTTGCCCCTTCCCCTGTTAAATTGTAAAAACAAGTTGCAACTTGTTTTACAAAACTTTTTGGTATTCCAAGTTTATTTTTACAACTTTTTTACAATTGTCAGAGCAACATGTTTCTAAGTTTAAAACTTGATTGTAGAGTTAGTATTTTCAAGTTTACAAACCTTTTACAACTTTTTACAATTTGTAAAACTTGTTTTTACAATTCCCAACTTGTTTTCACAATTTGTAAAACTTGTTTTTTCAAACTTTTTACAATTTGTAAAACTTGTTTTTACAATTTGTAAAACTTGTTTTTTAAAACTTTATACAATTTATAACTTGTTTTTACAAATTGTAAAATTTGTTTTTACAACTCCCAACTTGTTTTTCAATATTTGTAAAAACAAAAACCACACCTTGAGATTGACGAATACGCGTAGCTCTTTCCTTCCTCCTCCTCCTCTTCTTCATCGTCGTCTTCCTCTTCATCATCCGCATCGCTACTGTCCACAGATTCACCAGAAGCCTTCTTCTGCCCTTCATTTCTTTTTAGAAGGGCCACTCGCAGTTGACGCCTAATTTTGTTGAATTTGTTGTCCAATATTGGCGATGCAGAACGATGATGATGTTTTTGTTGCTCTAATCCTTCAAAGAGTTCTTCTCGTTCACCCACAGGCGAAGGTGGTTGAAGGATTGCAACAGTCGCAGCGGAAGAAACGAGCATTGTAGGTTGTCTCTTTTGTTTTGCTTTTTTAGGTTGGCGGTTTGTTGTTGTTGTTGCTTTTGGCTTGTGTTTGGATGGAGATGCTGCTCTAATTGTTGATGCGGACGATAATTGAGACGAGGAAATGGAAGAATCCGACAATTGATCCGTGCATTTAGGCAACATTCCTGTTTCGGAGTCAATATAAGGATCGCTGAAATAAATTGAAGTTTGTCAAGTCTAAAGAAAGGAAACAAACATTTCCTTGTGGAGCTCACTTTTGGATTTACAAACACCTCCATCGAACATTTCGTCAGGCTGAGCAACGTTTGGAATGTCGTTAATACGAGCTTTAGGAGTTCTAAAAATTGAAGAAACATTTCTTTAAAAAATTAATTGGAAAAGCTCACTTTTTGTATTTAGTCCTTCGGATGGACTGTTTTCGATGAAGGCGTGGACGAGGACCAGAATCGACCGATGGCTGCTGACTGGCGGCTCCATTACGGCTTTGTCTCATTTTTGTTGGAGAAGAGTGTTGTAATTAATCTTGAAGTTGTTAGGCGGAAGAAAATAAAATAAACTTGGATTCGAACATGCTTTTATAGTAAGTTTTTAAAAACAACTTGTTTTCTCAAACTTTGAATTTTTATTAAACTTGTTTTACAATTGTTTATTAACCCTATTTTTAAATAAAACATTTCTTTCAAACATGTTCAAATCCGGGTTTATTGTATTTTCTTAAATAAACTTGTTTTAAAATTTGTTTATCAACCCCGTTTTTGAATAAAACATCAAAACGTCAAACATCAAAACAATTTTAAAACTTCCTTGTGTTTTCGCCTACTCGACTAAAACAAATATTTTCCTATAAACGTAATAAAAAATAGGCCAAAAGCTACTCGACAAATTTTCTAAATTACCATTTACATAGTATGTAGATCATAAATTTACGTTTAGATCATAAAATGCTTTTTACATTCAAATTCTCTCTCGATGTTTAAAATCAAGCAAACATTTATACATACCTAAATATATTTATTTGCAGCTACATGTTTCTTTCAATTTCTACATATTTATTATTCGATTTTTTTAAATTTTTGTTGGAAAAAGGCAAAAAATTCAGTTCTTTCTTATTTTATTTATGAATAAGTTAAATAAATTTTAATATTAACTAACAAATTTCCAATAATTTTTAAAATATATTGTCTGTGTAAACTAACTCGCTAGCTCTCTTTTTTATCCACACAAAATTAATTTTAAATTTATTAAAAAACTTATAAACTTTAATTTAAATTAATCAATTTGGTAAACTTTAATATTTTATTAATTTATTTTATTTATTTTTAAAAACTTAATTAAAGTTGTAGCAAAATTACAATTACCTTTTTACAAACATTTGTTGTAATTTTATAAAATGTTTTTATATGTTTACCAACTTGTTTTTACAAAACATTTCTAAGCAAACTTGTTTTTTGCAAATTTAACAAACTTGTTTTACAAACTTGTTTTGTTTAACAAACTTGTTTGTAATAAACAAAGTTATTTTCAAACTTGTTTTACAAACTTTTTTACAAACTTGTTTTACAAACTTATTTAAACCTGTTTACCTTTTACTTTTTCAAGTTTTATTTAGCTTGTTTAACATATCAAAATCAAGTTTATAAACTTGCAAAACATTTTTGCAAACATGTTTTTAACACAAAGTTTGTTTTAATAATACTGTTATACAACAATGTTTATTTAATAGGATTAGATGTTTCCCAACTTTTTACAATTGTAAATGTTTTTAGAGACAACCATGGCTCGATTTTGACTTTTATAAATTATGTAAATATTTGCAAAAACATACTAATATAAAGAGAGAGAGAGAATGTTTTGTGTTATGACTCATAACTTAACTTTAAAAATTCCAACTAACTAAAATATGTAAATAAATGCGTCATAAAAACTATTCTTTTATTTTTGGCTCATAAAATGACCTCACAAAATCATATTTTATATTTTTAATCCTTTCACAGTTATATTTATTTAAACAAGTTTTTATGGCAATTATTATTTTATAGCCCTCCCTCATTTTTATTTTTCTAAAACAATTTCCCTCATTTTGTACCACAATTATTTCTTGACAGATTATTTTTTATTAATTTTTTTAAAAATTATTTTATCCATTTTTCTATTAATTATTTTTATTTTTAATTTAATCCATATTTCTTTTAATAAATGGACGAATGAGGAAAGGATTATGTTTCTATTTTTATTTTTATAATTAGAGAAGGAAATTTAATTTTATTGAGATATTCTCTTGATTTTAATTTATTTTAATAAAATAAATATTTTTTAGAATTTTTTTTTATTTTAAATTTGTGTAGGGTCAAGGAGTACAAACTTGAAAATATTAAATTAAACTTAAACTTTATTTAGCAAAGATAAATTGCCTCAAATCCAATAGGCGATCTTCAGTCTTTACAAAACATTTTATTTTGAAATTTACTTCCGTTCCTTTATAGAACATGTTTTTATTAATTTTTCAACTTGTTTTCCTCAACAAATAAAACCTAATTTAAAAATTAGAACATAATTGTAAACTTTAATTTGTAGCAAACTTGAATTGTAAAACTTAATTGTAACTAAGTTTAAAACTTTATTTGCAGAACCGAATTTGTAAAACTTGATTTGGTAAACTTAATTTGTACAACCTTATTGTAAGACGTGGTTAATAAAACTTGAATTTGTAAAAACAAGTTTTATAAAATTACTAGATTGTAAAACTTGTTTTTACAAATTCAAGTTTTATTAAAAATGTTTTACAATAAGGTTGAACAAATTAAGTTTTACAAACAAGTTTTTCTTGTAAAATTGTAAAACTTAAAATTTAAATTAAAACTTGACAAACATATTTATTTTTTAACTTGCCTCTTTATGTTAAAAACATTCTAGTCTAAACAACTTCAAGTACGGAAAAAATATTTTTGTTTGTATAATTTTTTAAAAATATTTTTATAATTTTAAAAAGTACACTTTTTAACATAAAAAAATAAAATAAATAATACAAATAAAAAAATTATAAAATAAAAAACTTAAAGCCAATTAACTTTAGTTCCACCAATACATATTTTTTCGGTACAATTTAAGAAAATTTTTTTCTTCATTTTTGGCCTTTCAATTCATTATTTTTTGTATTTTTTTCTTTTTCTATTTGTTCTAATTTGAAAAAGAAGGAAAGAAATACTAAACTTTGTTTTATAATCATTATCCTCTTTTTGACCGAAAACGAACTTGAAAAGCGCAAACATTTGTATTTTTCTTCTTTAAAAAATTTTTTTGTGTAAGGAAAAATGTCTTTAAAAATTCTAATAAATATATTTAAATGTTTGATTAATTTATTTAAATGAAATTAAAAAGTAATCAGCTTAAACTGTCGGGCAAACAATTTTAACAATTATTTGTTCACGCCTACATTTTAATTAAGTTAAGTTTTTTAGTTTATTTTAAGTTTCACAATCAGTACAGTTTTTTTACAAATAAGTTTTAGAATAAGTTTTAAAACAAGTTTTTACAAACTTGTTAGTTGTATGTTTTTACAATTACAATTAAGGTTTTTACAATTACCAAATTCAGTCGTTATGTTTTACAATTCAGGTTTTTGTATTTTACAAACTTGATGTTTTTAAGTTTTTACAAACTTAATGTTTAAATGCTTCTACAACCCAAGTTTTTATGTTTTACAATCCAAGTTTTTGTATTTTTACAAACTTGATATTTTCAAGTTTTTACAATTCAAGTTTAATAATCCACATTACCTAATTCAAGTTTCTAAAATAATTGATGTTTTTGCTTATATTCATTTTTAATCTTATTTGTAAAAACATTTGTTTTTACCACGCGAACATTTTTTCTCTGCAAACATTAATTACCCTATTAAACTTTAGTACTAGATAGAAATGCCCAATTCAATGAAAGACCCACTTAATGAAAAACAGAGTGAGACAGGCACAAACGACCGACCAGATTCTATAAGGACAACTACTACAATGATGCCTGAGACAAATTGGAACAGTATTTACACAGCAAGTATGCTTTCCTTTATTGGAACAGTCCAATTCTCACTTTATTTCTCTTCAATGTGGCCATACGTACAAATTGTAAAAAATTTTTATTTCTCCCCATTTTCCCCTGAAAATTCCCCATCTTTGATAGATTGACCGCTCAATAAACGAAACAATGTTTGGATGGATTATAGCAATATACAGCGTTGGACAAATAATTTCTGCCCCATTATTCGGCTATTGGAGTAACAAAATTCAACAAGTCCGTCTTCCCCTTTTTGTTGGACTAGCACTTATGTTTATGGGAAATCTTTGTTATCTGAGCTTAGAATTAACAACAATACCCAAATTATATATTCTTTTATTTGGAAGGTTTATGACGGGGATGGGCTCTGGTATTTATTTTTTAAATAATTTTCTTAGAAAAATCCAATTTTAGGGAATGTTTGTTTATTGAGAACATATGCCTCAACAGCCTCCACTAGCAAGGATCGTTTAAGAGCTATAGCTTTTGTCACTTGCGGGCAGGCGCTAGGTGCAACCAGTGGTCCCGGTATGTGTTTACAAAGCTGTATTTATTGATAAATTAAGTTTAGACTAGTTAAGTTTTACAATCTTTATAGGTTGTAAAATCAAAGTTTTACAATCCCTATAATTCAAGTTTTTACGCCAAGTTTTATTTTACAATTCGAGTTTTAATTTTTCAAGTTTTACAAATCAAGTTTTTTATTTTTTTAAGTTTTACAATTCAAGTTTTATTTTTTAAGTTTTACAATTCAAGTTTTATTTTTTAAGTTTTACAATTCAAGTTTTAATTTTTCAAGTTTTACAATTAAGTTTCGTAATTCAAGTTTAATTTTCTAAGTTTTACAATTAAGTTTTAATTTTTCAAGTTTTAGAAATAAGTTTTTAATAAAATAAATTTAAAAAACATTTAAAGTTTTTCAATTCTTTGCAGCATTCCAACTTTTATTCACTTCATTTACATATCCGGGCACTACACTCCTCGGACATTTACGATTTAATTTGTTTACTGGACCTGCATTTTTGGCTTGTACAATGAATTTATTTGGTACAATTATTTTGCTATTTATTTTCAAAGAAGTATATGCGGGTCTGCACCATGAAGAATATAATAAAATTGTTCGGGTTGAAAATGGGGAAAGCAACAGATCAGAAACAGCTACAACAAAGGCAAGTTTTACGAAAATTGTAAAACTTGTAAAAAAGAAGAGTTTTACAAATTGTAAAAAAAGTTTTACAATTCTTTCAAGTTTTTAATTTTTAAAGTTTTACAACTTTACTTTTAATTTTAAGGTTTTACAATTCCTTTAAGTTTATTTTTCTTTCAAGTTTTACAATCTACAAATTGTAAAAAAGATTGTAAAAATTAAAAAAAGTTTCACAATTCCTTTAAGTTTGTAAAAAAAGTTTTTCTTTTAGATTTAAGGTTTTACAATTCTTATTTTGGAGTTTTACAAATTGTAAAAAAAGTTTTACAATTCTTTTAATGTTTTACAATTTAAGTTTTACACCACCCAATTATATTCAAAAATTAATTAAAAACACAAAAACATTTTAAGGGCTCAGTAAATTCTCTAACATCTTCATTGCCTTCAAAATTACCCCCCTACGATTTAATTGCTTGTTTTGTTTGTTATCTAAGTCGATTTACCCAAATGTTTGTCCAAACAAATTTGGAAACAATAGGAAGTCCTTTTTCTATGACAATGTTTGGAATGACTGAACAAAAATCCGTGGAAGTTATTTCTATTGCCCAAGCATTGGTTGGCTCTATAACTTTTGCTACTTATATTTTTTATATTTATTTTAAATCTTCGAATATGGAGTGAGTTTCTTGAGGATTTTTTAAATAAAAAAATTTTTTTTAATTTAAAGATTAAATTTCCGACTAAGTTGTATTTTGTCTATATTAGGCCTTGGAGCTTTTCATATAGTGACTTTTCCGTGGCCTTTCCTAAGCAATCCGCTTCAAGTTTATACAGAGAAAGGTGAATATTAATTATTTTTTAAATTAATTTTTAAAATTATTATTTTATAGAAAGACTTGCTTATAAAGTAGAACATTTACCTGCTGACTTGGAACCTGTTGGGTGTAATACAGACAAATTTGAGTGGGTTTTTAATATTATTGTAAATTAAAAATGATTCAGAAAATTTTAATTCTGAAAAGTAATCAGGTTTCCGGAAAATACAAAAATTTTTTTGTTCAGGAAAGACAATTCCGGAAAACACATTATGTAAAATATAATTATGAAACATTCCGGAAGGGAAAATAATTTAATAATAATTCCGGAAAGAATTCTAAATACAATAGTTTTGAAAAATATTTAAGAACGTTTCCGGAAAATACAATTTTGTATTTTCGTTGTTTTTAGTAAAACTAAAAATACAATGAATTTTTCCGGAAAAATACACAACTAATATATGTATAATAACTTTCCGGAAACCTTGACTTTGAATAATTGAAGGTAAATAATAAAAAAATAAATAATAAAAAAATAATAAATATTTAATAAAAATATTTATTAAATTTTAAGAGAATGAGGAAAACATTGACCATAAAAAATTATTTTTTAATCCAAAATTTAATAGAAAATTTAATTTTTATTTTAAATAATTAGTTGGTGTCACAATATCGGGCAAGTAAATGTTTGGATATATTTTATTTCTTATGTTGTATTTATTGGATTTGCATTTCCAATACTTAATATAGCCATGAATACTTTATTTTCTCATATAATTGGACCTAGACGACAGGGAACGCAACAAGGATTTTTCCAAATATCTGGAAGTATTGCTAGAATGATTGGACCTATTGGGATGAGGTAATTTAAAGAAATCAAATAATAAAAGTAATTAAATTAGCAATAATTAATAAAAAAAATATTTAAAAATTTATCTGATCAATGATGGATGCTCCATCTTTCTTTTGGTAAACAGAAGGATAATTATCCGGAAAACACAAAAATAAAGGATATAGTGTAGTGTACCGGTGGTAAAAGTTCGGGACGTGACATATATCATTCGATTTGTCTCGACGAGCTGAGTCGAATGGTACCACTCCCTATTTTAGGAAATAATTCTGGACCGAGTTATAGGTCCCGAAAATTGAAAAACCATAGGGGGGAGTAAGGTCAATTTTGGGGTGAAAAATTCGAATATGCAAATAATAGCTCATTCGAAAGAGCTCTTCGAGCTGAGTCGAATGACACCAAAATCAACAAAATCTGACTTGATTGGACCGAGATATAGGCCCCTAAATATCGAAGATCCAAAGGGGCGATTTTTGGAATAAAAAATTTTTTTTACAAATAATACCTCATTCGAAAGAGCTCGACGAGTTGAGTCGAATGACACCAAAATCACCGTGATTGAACAAGATTAGACAAAATTACGACACAAAAAACAAGCAACATAAACCTATGGAGAGTCGGCGAGGCGCTTGTGCAAACCCCCGCGCTTCGCGCGGGGGTTTGCGGCACGCGCCTCGCGGGGAGTCTACGGGCGGTGGGTCTGGGCTCGTAACATAAACCTATTCCTATCTCCCTTGCTCTGGGCATACCTGGAGCCTCCGTAGCAGCAAAACCCTCCATGGAACCATAGGTAAGGAGCTAAAACAAACGATCATAACTTTGTCAAATCAAGTCGGATTTTGTTGATTTTGGTGTCATTCGACTCAGCTCGAGGAGCTCTTTCGAATGAGCTATTATTTGCATATTCGAATTTTTCACCCCAAAATTGACCTTACTCCCCCCTATGGTTTTTCAATTTTCCGAGACCTATAACTCGGTCCAGAATTATTTCCTAAAATAGGGAGTGGTACCGTTCGACTCAGCTCGTCGAGACGAATCGAATGACATATATCACGTCTCGAACTTTTACCACCGGTACACTACACTACAGCCAAAATAAAACACCTTTCCGGAAATTTTTAATTCTGAAAAATAATTTCCGGAAAATACAAATCCGGAAAATATAAATGTATTTTTTCCGGAAAATACAATTTTTCTTCCGGAAAATGTATTTTCCGTTTCCGGAAAATACAAAAATGTCAATAATAATAAAACTTTCCGAAAAAATAAAAATTCTGAATGTTTCCGGAATTATGAAGAAAACACATGATTCTCTGTAAATTGATTCCGGAAGGATACAAATTTTTCAGAAAAACAGAAAATAATATACTTTTCCAGAAATTTTATTCTGAATTCATAATCTTTTCCGGAAAATACAAATAAAATTGTATTTTCGTTATTTCCATAAAAATTCTAATTTCTAAATTTTCAGCACATTATACACAATGTATGGCCCTAGAATGGCTTGGACAATGGAATTATTAATTATTGGAATAACTACAATTCTTTGGATAATTTTCTACAAAAGAATGGTTCCATTATTGTCTTCTCCATATACTTCAAATAGCACTAAAAGGAAATTTACTGTTCAAAATATTTTTTGGATTTCGTCGATTAAGGGTTGAAGAATCGAAAAATATTTTTTTTAGAATTTTTTATTTTTTTTCTAGTCTTTGTTATTTTTGTATAAATATATTCTCCCTCCCTACCGCTCACAAAAATAAGCAAAAATTGAAACCATATTTTTTTTCTTAAAATGTTGTCAGGTTAAAAATTAAATAAACAAAGGTGCGTAGTTTTTCTTCTCTCCCGGGTTGAATTTGAATATTTTAATTGTTATATTTTTTTTAAAAATCAAAAAAATTTTTAAATTTATTTCTCATTTTTTCTTCACATGCTCTCCATTCTCTCTCTCTCTCTGATAAAATTATTTTTTTGCTTTTATTAAAATTAAACCCCGTGATTTTATTTTTTTGTTTAACTTTCACTTTTACAAATTGCAATAATAATTCTCAATTTTTATATTTTATTTTTTTTAATAAAAATAAATTTGATATAATAAAAAAGTGTGTTGACTTTTTGTTTTCTAACAAGAAAAACAAATTAAAAAATAACAAAATTGAAAAATCGGAATAAGGGAAAAATACACGTATTTTTGATATTAGTAGAACGAAAGAATGATTTTTAAAAATTGTTTTTTAAAAGATTAAATTTAAAATTATTTTAATCCCTTTAGTATTTAAATTAGAAGGATTTACCACCCTACAAATTCCCTAAAACACGTTCAAATTTAAAACCTCGTATAATTACCCTCCCTCGATTAATTACTACCCCCAGCGGAAGGTCGAAACAATAATTACCCGGGGTAGTTATTAAAGGATATACGGTAATTTAATTCCTTTAGTATTTAAAATTAGACGGAATAGACGGAATAATTCCGATCTCTAATTAAAATTTAAAAATTTATAATAAATTAATTTTGTCCTTTATTAAAAATTTTTTGACAAATTCAAACAGAAATATAAATTAGAAAACAATTTTTTGTCCGTTTAGAATTAGTGAAAAAATATAATTAAAAAATTTTAAACGAAGATTTTTTTTTAATTTTTCAAAAAATTATCCATTTATATAAAAAAAATTTTATAAAAAAATTTTTGGACAAAAAATCAGGCACATTATACAAAAAGGAGGTCATCTTTCCATTTTTTTCTTCAAAAGAAAAATATTTTTTATGTAAATAATAAATGTCGCAATAAAGCAATAATTTTGTCAACGAGAAGGACGGAGAGAAAAAAATTAATTTTATGCATAAATCAACAATAAAAATATTTTTTTCGGTTGAAAAATTAGATTTTGGATAAATTGAACAAAAATTCCTTTTTATTTATTTTTATTTATTTTCTCTCTAGCTTTGGGGGTTATGTTGATTTCTCTTCTTGGATTGACTATTATTTCGAAATATTTCAGACTGGCTGTAAACTGTTTCTTTTAAATAAACAGCCATATTTTAAGAAGAAAGAGATTTTAAAGAAAAACAAAATATGTATGTAATAATTGTTTACATCAAAAATGCTAAATTTAAAATAATATTTTTCTATTTCAAATAAATTTTATTTTCTTTTAAAAATATAAAAATTATTTTTTACTTAAAATAAATAAAAAATTAATTTGTTCTATATTCCAAAAGGTGATTAATAAACTTAAGTAATAAACTTAAACTTAAAACGAACTTAAAAACAAAAAAACTTGAAGACATTAAAATAGACTTTAAAACTCAAAACCAACTTGAAGCACAAACAGCATAAAATAAACAAAATAAACTTGGAAACAAAAAATGTTTTGTGTTTTTAAGTTTGTTTGTATTTTTGCATTTTATTTAAAGTTTGTTTGTGTTTTTGTATTTCAAGTTTATTTAAAGTTTGTTTGTGTTTTTGTATTTCAAGTTTATTTTAAAGTTTGTTTGTGTTTTTGATTTTTAATTGTTTAAAGTTTGTTTGTGTTTTTGTATTTCAAGTTTATTTTAAAGTTTGTTTGTGTTTTTGTTTTCAAGTTTATTTAAAGTTTGTTTGTATTTTTGCATTTTATTTAAAGTTTGTTTGTGTTTTTGTATTTCAAGTTTATTTAAAGTTTGTTTGTGTTTTTGTTTTCAAGTTTATTTTAAAGTTTGTTTGTGTTTTTGATTTTTAATTGTTTAAAGTTTGTATTTTATGCTAAACTGTGTAGGTGTTTTAGAAGTTTGTGTTTTTCTACTTAAGTTTATTAAAAAATAGTTATAAAAATATAAAAAAACATTGAAACACAATCTTAAGAAATTAACAAGTGCAAACTATAAGCGTGCTTTTAATTAACTAGAACTTAAGTATCTTAAGTATGTCTCTCTACTCTCCAAATAAACAAAGTTATTTCTCTAAATTTAAGTACTTGACTAAAAAGTTTTACTATAAAAGCCTAATTAAGTTTATTTTATTTAATAAAACAAGTTTTGCCGTCGTCAACACAACATTTTCTACGTCAGAACAAGACTTTCTACGTCAGAACAAGTTTGCCGTCGTCAACACAACACTTTCTACAACAGGCACGTTCTCCAAACAATGTTCTTCTACAACGAGAATAACAACTTGGATTGTTTTGCTGTTCAGCTTGGATTCATTGGCTATTATTTCATTGTTGTTCTAATTCTGCTGGTTCTTGCCTCTTCTATGATTATAGGCTGTCACAAGAAGCAAAACAACAAGAAAAAGTTGGCTAAGAAGAAGAATTTAAACGTTAGAAAAAATTTAATTTGACCAAAAAAAATTTTTTTTTAATTTTTAGAAGGCTCCAAACAAGAAAGGGATGAACAAGAAGAAAGCAAAATCAACAAATAAAAAGAAGAAACATCCCCAACAACCCAAAATGAATAAATCAGATACTTTACGGGCCTTAACTTTGTTTTGTGATGGATATGCTGCAGCAATTGAACCAACTTTTTACAATGTGGATGTTCAAACATCTAAGTGGACGTTGATTGATAAAGTAGGGTTTTTTGTTTTTCCTTAAAGTTCTAGAGAACTTTAATTCCCATCCCCTGAGTAACCTTACAAAGAATTTTTTTATTTTTTCAGAGCTTCCTCTCAACTATTAGCAACGTTGAATTGAAGACTATAGCTATTACGCAGAACAGCCAAGCAACGCTCAAAGCTACCGGTTCTTACATTGAGAGGATGTTTGAAGTTTTGCCCGTTGGCGTTTACCCGATATTGTTTGAAACTACGGATAGTTGTGAGTTTTTTTGTTTATAAATATGAAAATAATTATTATTATTTTAAGTTGGGTTCGTAGGTTATGGAGAAGCGGAAGTAATTCATTTGGAAGGTTTACTCACAGCGACTGGCAATCTCAAACTTTTAATCAAAGAATCAGCCATTGTTGCGCGTAATTATTTAACAACGTTTGTCAAACAATTCAATCTTGGAGATGCATCAATTTTGCACTTCTTTGTTCATATAATACCTGTAAGCAACTTTTTCTTCATTTTTTCAAATTAATAAAATTTTTAAAATTCCAATGTTTCAGGGATCGTCCTCGAAGGATGGAGGCAGCGGTGGCGCCGGTCTCGTAACTTGCATGCTAAGCAAGTTTCTTGAGTTGGCTCCCTTGAATGGTATTTTTTAAAATACTGACAGAAAACATTTGTGGGAAAACCAAAATAAGTTGGCTTTAGAACAGCAAATTTTAAAGGGATTCCTATTAACATAAAAATTCTGCTCGATTCTGTTCGATAAAAACTGAAAAATATTTTTCAGTAAAAACTAAAAATAATTTTTTAAATTTTTAGACAGCGTTATACTCGCCGAAATTGATGTTACTGGGAGATTACGCCCCGTTGCAGGGTTGGAAAGTAAAATTTCTGCGGCTATTCGTGTTGGAATAAAAATTGTAATAATGCCTAAATGTATGAAGAGTGATTGGGAAAGACTGGATGTGAACAAGACCAAATGTTTTACTGTTGTATATGCTGAGACTTACCCAGATGTTTTTCGAGTTGTTTTTCCAAGTGTGGCATCTCGAGTTAAGAAGATATAGAAGTCTTGATATCTTAAACCCTGATATACTATTCCTAATTAACTATTCCTAAACTATTCCTAAACTATTCCTATACAGAGGTGGGTCGGAACAGTCATTGGTGTCGTAAATCGGAAGAGCCGGAAATCGGAAATCAAAATTTTTTTTCGGAAATTGGAAGGAAAAAAAGCCGGAAGTCGGAATTCCGAACCATCTCTTATACTTACCAACATGTAAATATGTACATATATATTTTTTGTATTCTAAGAATGACGATTTCTAAAAATTAAAATTCTTCACTTAAACATTTTTGAAAATTCGAAGTTAAATAAAATATTAACTTGTGAAATCTAAAAACAAGAACTTCAAAAATACAAAAGAATAAAAATAAATCGTCATTCTCCAATAATTATTTGTATTGTGAGATTATTTGCGTTACCTGTTTGTTTATTAAAGATAGAAAGTATAAAAAGTTCTGTTTGACTCTAATTTTATAAAAAAAAATTATTTTAATTTGGGACAAAAATCACAATGTTTTAATCGGTAAAACACAAGGAATGTTTTAAGGTTGTTTTGATGTTTGAAAGAAATGTTTTAATTAAAAATAGGGTTAATAAACATTTTGTAAAACAAGTTTAATAAACATTTACAAAGTTTGAGAAAACAAGTTGTTTTTAAAAACATACTATAAAAGCATGTTCAAATCCAAGTTTATTTTATTTTCTTCCGCCTAACAACTTCAAGATTAATTACAACACTCTTCTCCAACAAAAATGAGACAAAGCCGTAATGGAGCCGCCAGTCAGCAGCCATCGGTCGATTCTGGTCCTCGTCCACGCCTTCATCGAAAACAGTCCATCCGAAGGACTAAATACAAAAAGTGAGCTTTTCCAATTAATTTTTTAAAGAAATGTTTCTTCAATTTTTAGAACTCCTAAAGCTCGTATTAACGACATTCCAAACGTTGCTCAGCCTGACGAAATGTTCGATGGAGGTGTTTGTAAATCCAAAAGTGAGCTCCACAAGGAAATGTTTGTTTCCTTTCTTTAGACTTGACAAACTTCAATTTATTTCAGCGATCCTTATATTGACTCCGAAACAGGAATGTTGCCTAAATGCACGGATCAATTGTCGGATTCTTCCATTTCCTCGTCTCAATTATCGTCCGCATCAACAATTAGAGCAGCATCTCCATCCAAACACAAGCCAAAAGCAACAACAACAACAAACCGCCAACCTAAAAAAGCAAAACAAAAGAGACAACCTACAATGCTCGTGTCTTCTGCTGCGACTGTTGCAATCCTTCCAGCACCTTCTCCGCCTGTGGGTGAACGAGAAGAACTCTTTGAAGGATTAGAGCAACAAAAACACCATCATCGTTCTGCATCGCCAATATTGGACAACAAATTCAACAAAATTAGGCGTCAACTGCGAGTGGCCCTTCTAAAAAGAAATGAAGGGCAGAAGAAGGCTTCTGGTGAATCTGTGGACAGTAGCGATGCGGATGATGAAGAGGAAGACGACGATGAAGAAGAGGAGGAGGAGGAAGGAAAGAGCTACGCGTATTCGTCAATCTCAAGGTGTGGTTTTTGTTTTTACAAATATTGAAAAACAAGTTGGGAGTTGTAAAAACAAATTTTACAATTTGTAAAAACAAGTTATAAATTGTATAAAGTTTTAAAAAACAAGTTTTACAAATTGTAAAAACAAGTTTTACAAATTGTAAAAAGTTTGAAAAAACAAGTTTTACAAATTGTGAAAACAAGTTGGGAATTGTAAAAACAAGTTTTACAAATTGTAAAAAGTTGTAAAAGGTTTGTAAACTTGAAAATACTAACTCTACAATCAAGTTTTAAACTTAGTTACAATTAAGTTTTACAATTCAAGTTTGCTACAAATTAAAGTTTACAATTATGTTCTAATTTTTAAATTAGGTTTTATTTGTTGAGGAAAACAAGTTGAAAAATTAATAAAAACATGTTCTATAAAGGAACGGAAGTAAATTTCAAAATAAAATGTTTTGTAAAGACTGAAGATCGCCTATTGGATTTGAGGCAATTTATCTTTGCTAAATAAAGTTTAAGTTTAATTTAATATTTTCAAGTTTGTACTCCTTGACCCTACACAAATTTAAAATAAAAAAAAATTCTAAAAAATATTTATTTTATTAAAATAAATTAAAATCAAGAGAATATCTCAATAAAATTAAATTTCCTTCTCTAATTATAAAAATAAAAATAGAAACATAATCCTTTCCTCATTCGTCCATTTATTAAAAGAAATATGGATTAAATTAAAAATAAAAATAATTAATAGAAAAATGGATAAAATAATTTTTAAAAAAATTAATAAAAAATAATCTGTCAAGAAATAATTGTGGTACAAAATGAGGGAAATTGTTTTAGAAAAATAAAAATGAGGGAGGGCTATAAAATAATAATTGCCATAAAAACTTGTTTAAATTAGGGTTTGACCCCGAACGCTCGGGGGCGGGTATGTCGGGGTACGGGGTTTTCGAATTGTTTCGGGGCGGGGTTCGGGTCGGGGGAGCAAAATATGCTCGGGGTTCGGGTCGGGGTACGGGGGTTTACTGGAAAAATTTTTTAAAGAAAAAATGCTCTAAAAATAAGCATTTTCGGTCTATTTTTGTTAATTTATTTAGAAATTAATGAGAATAAGGTGGGATTAAATGGAAATAAGAGAAATTGGAGTGATTAATTGGATCTGGAGGTGATTAAAGCGGATATCTGGGAATATAAGAGGATTTGTAGGGACTAAAAGTAGTTTTAAGGGATATCATTGATTTAAGGGTTAACGAGTGATTAGGGATTTGGAGGATATCAGGGTATCTCTTTCTTTTCTGCGCCGCAGGCAAAATTTTGAGAATTTTATAAGGCCAAGAAGCCAGATTTTTTCGTTTTTTTGCTAAACAAAAAATATTTACATTGTTTTTTATGGTTGATAATATTTAAAAATTAAATTTACATTTTAAATTAAAATTAAGCTCTTGATTTTGTAAAGAAAAATCACAAAACAATCGAGCCCAGCTAATTTGGATCCGAACTCAATCCTATACATATTAATGGAAATATAGGCTAAAACCAACAACTAAGCCACTCAACCACAAGTCTCTTAACATAGCAGGAAAAAGAATTTTGATATTTCTTTATTTTTCTTTCAAAAATAATAGAGGCAAAGTAAATTGGGCGTAAATTTTTAAAATTTTTCTCTTAAAATTCTCCCAAAAATGGCATTTTTTGGGTATATAAAACCCCGATAACCCCGAAACTTTTCGGGTCGGGGTACGGGGTTTTCACTTTTTTTCGGGGCGGGGTTCGGGTCGGGGAGAATCGTGAAAAAATCGTTCGGGAACGGGGTCGGGGTTCGGGGTACGGGGTCGGGGTCAAACCCTAGTTTAAATAAATATAACTGTGAAAGGATTAAAAATATAAAATATGATTTTGTGAGGTCATTTTATGAGCCAAAAATAAAAGAATAGTTTTTATGACGCATTTATTTACATATTTTAGTTAGTTGGAATTTTTAAAGTTAAGTTATGAGTCATAACACAAAACATTCTCTCTCTCTCTTTATATTAGTATGTTTTTGCAAATATTTACATAATTTATAAAAGTCAAAATCGAGCCATGGTTGTCTCTAAAAACATTTACAATTGTAAAAAGTTGGGAAACATCTAATCCTATTAAATAAACATTGTTGTATAACAGTATTATTAAAACAAACTTTGTGTTAAAAACATGTTTGCAAAAATGTTTTGCAAGTTTATAAACTTGATTTTGATATGTTAAACAAGCTAAATAAAACTTGAAAAAGTAAAAGGTAAACAGGTTTAAATAAGTTTGTAAAACAAGTTTGTAAAAAAGTTTGTAAAACAAGTTTGAAAATAACTTTGTTTATTACAAACAAGTTTGTTAAACAAAACAAGTTTGTAAAACAAGTTTGTTAAATTTGCAAAAAACAAGTTTGCTTAGAAATGTTTTGTAAAAACAAGTTGGTAAACATATAAAAACATTTTATAAAATTACAACAAATGTTTGTAAAAAGGTAATTGTAATTTTGCTACAACTTTAATTAAGTTTTTAAAAATAAATAAAATAAATTAATAAAATATTAAAGTTTACCAAATTGATTAATTTAAATTAAAGTTTATAAGTTTTTTAATAAATTTAAAATTAATTTTGTGTGGATAAAAAAGAGAGCTAGCGAGTTAGTTTACACAGACAATATATTTTAAAAATTATTGGAAATTTGTTAGTTAATATTAAAATTTATTTAACTTATTCATAAATAAAATAAGAAAGAACTGAATTTTTTGCCTTTTTCCAACAAAAATTTAAAAAAATCGAATAATAAATATGTAGAAATTGAAAGAAACATGTAGCTGCAAATAAATATATTTAGGTATGTATAAATGTTTGCTTGATTTTAAACATCGAGAGAGAATTTGAATGTAAAAAGCATTTTATGATCTAAACGTAAATTTATGATCTACATACTATGTAAATGGTAATTTAGAAAATTTGTCGAGTAGCTTTTGGCCTATTTTTTATTACGTTTATAGGAAAATATTTGTTTTAGTCGAGTAGGCGAAAACACAAGGAAGTTTTAAAATTGTTTTGATGTTTGACGTTTTGATGTTTTATTCAAAAACGGGGTTGATAAACAAATTTTAAAACAAGTTTATTTAAGAAAATACAATAAACCCGGATTTGAACATGTTTGAAAGAAATGTTTTATTTAAAAATAGGGTTAATAAACAATTGTAAAACAAGTTTAATAAAAATTCAAAGTTTGAGAAAACAAGTTGTTTTTAAAAACTTACTATAAAAGCATGTTCGAATCCAAGTTTATTTTATTTTCTTCCGCCTAACAACTTCAAGATTAATTACAACACTCTTCTCCAACAAAAATGAGACAAAGCCGTAATGGAGCCGCCAGTCAGCAGCCATCGGTCGACTATGGTCCTCGTCCACGCCTTCATCGAAAACAGTCCATCCGAAGGACTAAATACAAAAAGTGAGCTTTTCCAATTAATTTTTTAAAGAAATGTTTCTTCAATTTTTAGAACTCCTAAAGCTCGTATTAACGACATTCCAAATGTTGCTCAGCCCGACGAAATGTTCGATGGAGGTGTTTGTAAATCCAAAAGTGAGCTCCACAAGGAAATGTTTGTTTCCTTTCTTTAGACTTGGACAAAAAAATTTTTTTATTTCAGCGATCCTTATATTGACTCCGAAACAGGAATGTTGCCTAAATGCAAGGAACAATTGTCGGATTCTTCCATTTCCTCGTCTCAAGTATCGTCCGCATCAACAATTAGAGCAGCATCTCCATCCAAACGCAAGCCAAAAGCAACAACAACAACAAACCGCCAACCTAAAAAAGCAAAACAAAAGAGACAACCTACAATGCTCGTTTCTTCCGCTGCGACTGTTGCAATCCTTCAACCACCTTCGCCTGTGGGTGAACGAGAAGAACTCTTTGAAGGATTAGAGCAACAAAAACACCATCATCGTTCTGCATCGCCAATATTGGACAACAAATTCAACAAAATTAGGCGTCAACTGCGAGTGGCCCTTCTAAAAAGAAATGAAGGGCAGAAGAAGGCTTCTGGCGAATCTGTGGACAGTAGCGATGCGGATGATGAAGAGGAAGACGACGATGAAGAAGAGGAGGAGGAGGAAGGAAAGAGCTACGCGTATTCGTCAATCTCAAGGTGTAGAAAGATGTTCACCCCACATTCATATTCTCCAACCCATAGTGCCGAAGCCGTGCCGGATCCATACCCAGAATATAGAGGAATATTGGGAGGGGAGTATATTTGGACTTCCTAGGAAGAGCTTCAGGATTGATCAGGTCCTTCAGCAATTCCCCATACTCAAATATACACAAACACACACCGGCCGGTGGAAATCCTTATTTAACAATTTAACACAAGTTCATAATATTTACTAAACACCAAACTAACTAACTAACAATAAAATGATTGAAATTGTATGTGTGAAAAAGGGGCGGGATTTAAAATTGCATGAAATAGAAATAAATGGGATATGAATACAAACTCCAAAAACACAAACTCTGAATATGCTCAATACCGTGTTCTACCTTACACGTCCCTTTCCCAACGAGACCGTCCCTGGTCTCTATCTAGACTTTTCCGACTCTAATTTCTCTACTTTTAAAACATTTTTCCCTCCTACTAGTAACCTGACCATTTCCTTTTCATACCGAATCAATAAGCTCTCTGATGCCTGGCTTAGCCTATTTTCATGATGTTTTCTCTTTCTTTTACTTTCCATGCTCTTCGAGCATGTCTCTCTTTCCTTTCCTTTTGGACCGTCCCTGGTCCACTCTTAACTTATTCTTTCCTTTCAAAGTTGCTTATTGATTCGTGTATTTATTTTATGGTCATTTTCTAGTAGTTGGGTTATTATTTTTTTAAGAGTTTAGAAATTATTGTGGGTAAAGTCTAAATATTTCTGGGGTATTCCTTGTTTTTGGCTAACCTAGTATGAGCATGTTCATTAAAATTTTGAAAACGTGTTTTAAATGGGATAAGGTTTGGAATTGAAAAAAATGTCAAAATAGTAAAAAGGATCCAGAAATTACCTAAGTAAAATTAAATGACAACATAAATTTTGGGGTATAAATGGCTAAACAAAAAAAAATAAATTCTTATGTAAATAGGGAAAATTTGAGAAAGATTGGCACAAAATGATTGGGCAAAAGTAAATTTTAGGTAAATATGCGATTCATGAAATGTGAATAAAAAGTGGCATTTTTGGGATTTAAGTGAACTAAATAAATAGTAACAAAACTTATTCTAGCATTTTAAAAAAAATTGGGGGAATGATATAAATATTAAAAAAAAAATTTTTTTGAAAAATTTTTCTGTGAGATATAGAGGGAAGTAAAATTGAATGTAAATTGGCAAACAAAATAATTAATTAGAAAAATAATTGATTAATTAATTAATTAGAGCAAATTGTTAAAATCATAAAAAAATATTTTTGAAGGGTTTCAATGAAATTTCTATATAAAGTGACATTTGGTTGTAAAAATGACATTTTGAGAATTTTTGGAAATGAGAAAAAAATTGTATTTGACAGGTATAAGTGATATAAAGGTAACATGAAATTAAGCACAAATTATTTTTAAGGTTTAAATTGGAAAAGAAATTCTGGGGTAATAAAAACACAATTAAAAATACATTAATGTGCCCTAGTGTTAACCACTTAATAAATTCAAAACATTTAAAGGAAAATTGTGGAGAGGGGATGTGAAATGGAAATTTGTTTTTAAAAAAAAAATTTTAAATAAATACAAATGATATGGTGGACAAAATATGTGTGTTTTACAACCTAAAAACATTCAAACTCATTTTAACAAATTAAAGTGAATAATAAAAAAATAATTTAATGTTTTCCTCTTCCTCTCCATGAATCCTTACGCCAAGTTCCATAACTGTTTTCCATACATTCGCGAGCGAAGTGTCCATGGCCTCCACATTTGTAGCATTGGGTTTGGTCTGAAGTTCTGATGAATGTAGTTCCTTGATATTGTTGCCATTCATTGGGAGCTTGTCTCTTCCTAAAATTGGGAATATAATAATTTGTGGTATTGTTTATATTTAAATTATTAAAATCTCTTTCAAACCAATCTTCAGCTCTACTTGTACTTGGCCCATCTCGTCTCCATGTTTCATTCCTAACCATTCCACTCGTTGAAGGTTGTTGTTGTTGCTGCTGTTGGGGAACCACCTCATCAACAAAGTTAGCTACAACTCTCCCACTGGCGGACAACAGCTGGCCAAACCTATCACGTTTACAAGATCCACTTCGGAGGACATTCAAATACTCTTGACCAACAACCATTGTAAAATCTGAAGCACGATCGATAAACCTGCTCCATACTTTACCACCTCTCAAAGTCTCGATGTCACCGACGAGGAAAAGTCCATGCTTGGCACGACTCAACGCAACAGTTGCACGACAATCATCTCTCAAGAAGTCCGAGGAATCGCCGAGGCCGCCACTTCTGTTGGAGGATCTTGTGGTGACAAGTACGACAACATCACATTCCTGGGCTTGATAGCCATCAACGCTGACTACCAAAACATTCCAATTCAATTTTTCAAACTCTTTTTGAATACATTCCTTTTGAAACAAATATAAACAAATAACAACGACGGAAATATTTGGTGAGACTTTTTCATACAAGGAGGAAATCAGTTGAATTGCCGAAGCAGTTTGTTCATCATTGGTGAGAGAATGGGAGATAATATCCTGACGACAAGTTCCAACAACATTCAACAACACAATCGGACAATTCTGCATTGGTAGGGGGAATCGTGAGGTTGTTAACAACGCTCTTTCATCCTCACCTCTGCCTGCCTCAATATTTTCTCCATGCGACTCGTAGGAAGCATAAGAGACAACTTCTACCAGAAGAGGGTGCATCCTATAGCAGACCGTCAACCTAGTATGCTTGACCAAAGTCGACAAGACTAACTGTTCGACCATGCTCTCCAGGCCGAAGCCATAGTGGAGGCACTTAGGCAGGTTCTGGAGATGAACACCGAGTTGGTGTTGGTCTCCAGTGACCAACACCTTCTCAAGTTTCGGAAGACGACAAATAAGATGAGCGAGCTCAGTAAAACTTCCTTGTGTCGCCTCATCAAAGATGAGAACTGACGTATCGAGCAACGAGGAATTCACCATTGCTTCTGCCATTGATGACGTGGCAAACACAATGCGTAGTCTGGAGAGCTCTGCAAGGAGAGACCCCATCTTACATTCATTGGTTAACCGAGGTCTACGATCAAAATTTTCACAATATTGATCGATTTCTTTCACGTCAGCGTTTCCAAGATTTCTCAGAACCTCCTCTGACTTCAATTTGGTGACTAACATATGCTGCCGAAGCTCGTTAATCATACCAAAATACTTATCTTTGGCATAGCCTGAAAAGAAAGCGACAGCTCCTGACCGCTCCATCTCAGGGCTACCTAACACTTCTTCCAATTCACGAGCTAACTTTGCCAAAGGCAAGTTCGCTGCTGTGATCACTGCTACCTTAACATTAGTCACAATGGACAACATTATGGCAACAACAACAGACGCCACGTGGGTCTTCCCAACTCCAGGCGGAGCCTGTTGGAAAACAAATTTACAACCCTCTTCCAACAAAATTTTGGCTGTTTCTTGCTGTTTCCTATTCAATAACCTCATCAATGGGTGAATCCTTTCAACTGCCGAAGCATCCCAATCTTCTACTTCATCATCGACCTCAAATTCTCTGGCCAGTAAAGCGCGAAGAAGTCTTCCTTGGTTAGTATCTTGCAAAGATAAAGTTGATGGCATATTTAAATCAAAGCACTCTCGACGACTCTCCAATCCTTTAAACAGAAACGGATGGACTACAATGAAGCCCCCATCCTTGGCATTTTCCAATTCTTCCTCAACATCTCTGTTCTTTCGCTCCTGGACATTGACAACCCTCACACTAATCCAAAAATCAAATCTCTTGTTCCCGAAGGACTGAACCTGAGAAACTTCGATCTTTCTAACGACACCTGATGCAAAACTTGGAAGATGCATCTCCGACTTGAGGACTACTTGATCATCTTCGTTCCAAGCATCCTTCAAATTTTTAACCTTTGCACTGTCAATCTCAGTGAAACCTAGACGAAACAGTTCATCAACAAAAATGGCAGTGCCTTCGAACCTATTTTCAACAATTTTCCGTCTTTCATCTTCATAAGAAAAACCAATTGCGGCACTCATTATACCTTCAGACAACTCAACTTCACCCTGCGTCATTTCAGGTAACAGAGGATAAAATATATTTTTTCCATTCCTTTTATATGGCCAAGGCCCGTGTGGTTCTACTGTTCCAAGAGTACCCATTCCTTGCTGAATGACTTCTTCTGAACCAATTTTGTATTCAGTCATGTGTGGGAGAACATACGATTCATCGACAAGAAAGTTGGCAGGTAATTTAGCGACCGAAACTTTAACTAATTGACCAATTTCAATCTCATTTAAGTTTAGTCCAATCAACTGACGACGATAACAACGAGTGGACACTTGAAGTTTCGAAGCGATGACTATACAACAGGATCTGACATCTTTGGTTTCTTTGATTTTGATAGCAACACCAGAACACTCAACTCTTTCTGCATACGAGATGAATTCAATACAAGAGACTGTGGCCTGACTATTGATGCGACTATGGAACCAAATCCTCCTATACTGAGTCACTTCTCCAGCATTCTTAGCCAAAACTTTATAGCCTTCTCGCCATTGGAACTCAGATACCCAGTCCGAATCTCCGAGCTGTAATTTGGCAACGAAGCCATCACTCTTCTCTGCCAGTTCATTCTTTATCAGAACAAAGTGTGGCCAATTTCTATTCGTGGTTGGGTTGAAACGAGCTCCAATGACTCCATTCTCTTCCACCTGACAAATCAGGTATTCAACTATTTTCTTTTCTTTCTCTTCAACATTTTCTTTAGGCATTTCTTCCGTGGTTTCTTTACATTTCTCTTTCTCCATGTTTTCAATCCGTTTAATGGCCGAAGCCTGAATATTGCTGGTGGAACAACTAGTGGTGGAACAACTCGGTTGTTTGACTGGTGGACTTTTATCAGCGGACGACGACGACATAGCCGACGGAGGAATACTGGTGGACTTGGCCTTGGGAGAGTTAGTAGGTAAAGTTGTTGAGGATAGTGGCGGGAACTCGACCAAATTATTCAAATCCAGAATTGGTTGTCTTTTTTCCATTTCAATTTCTAAATTAAAGTGGAATTAGATTTTTGAAACTTAAGTAAATTATTTTTCATTAATTTTAATTTGTTTGAATTTATCAGATTATTCAGTTAATTTTACTTTATGTTCCTATAACTACTTAAATTACTAACTGAGAAGCCTGGTTCGAATATCTGTTAGAATGATGCCCAACACATTCTTCCCAGGCCATTTGTTCTTCTCAACAATCTTAGGCGAAGAAATGTCTACACCGCAACCCCAGTATAGATCACGTGAGGTTGCTTCGACCAAAAGAGATTGCCCAGTTTGAAATAAAATTCTTCTTAATTCTGGATTCTGGCGATATTTATACCAATTAGCAATAGCCATAATAAGAATAGAAACACGTCTCCATTTAAAGTGATCAAAATTTCGGATTCGTGATCCAATCCTTTTAATTAAAGCCGCGTTTTTGGTGGAGAGAATTTGTTGAGCCGACTCAAAATCTTCGAACACTAGCGCTTTGTAATACATGTAGTACTGTTCAGTACAACAGAAATCCATGCCATCAATTGTAAACAGACAACTGAAGTGGTTAGAAAACACAAAAACTTTAGTAAAAAATAAAGTCAATTTTGTTCCATCAAGCGCTGTAGTTGTAACTGGCTGTTTCATCTATATTTATTAGAATTTTACTATTTTACTTTCTCATTTTTCAAATTATATTTTATTTACAAAAATTATATTTATTTATTATATTTATTTATTATTTAGTTATTATTTATTTATTTTATTATTTATTTTATTATTATTTTATTTTATTATTTTTATTATTTTATTTTATTATTTCCTTGCAGTTGCCGAAGCTATTATGAGAATCTTTTGTTTGGGATTTCTTCTTAAATTGTATCTACCTAATCCCTGACGTCCTAATATTTCATCAGCTTGACTACTTTGTTCTACAATTACATTCGGTTCAACAACATTTTTATGCGAAAATCCAGGCATGTCAACTATTTCCTCTGCGTTAACCTCTACTAATGCTTCTAATTCCTCATTTTCTAACCTAGGCGTTGTACAAACGGGTTCGCAAGGTAAAGGTTCTATACATTTTTTCAACTGGTTAATGTGAACGATTCTTGGGTTAGACTGAGGTGAGTTACAACTTGATATGGTTACATGAACGCCATTAATTTCAATCACTCTAAATACACCCTTCCAGGGAAGATGGAATTTCTTTGAAGACCCGACTTTTCCAGTATAATTCCGAAGAAGTACCCTATCACCTATTGAAACAGTTGGATTCCTAAGTAACTTATCATATTGCGCCTTTGATCTTAGCTGTGCTTCGCTATTAGCTTCTGCCGCGTATTTCCATGCGCATCTTAGGGAAACAATTAGTTTCTGTTTTATCTCTTGCTCATCATTTAGGGCTATTGGTTCTCTTATTCTGGGATCCAAAATTAAATCAACACAGAATATTGGATCACGTCCATACATTAAAAAGAAAGGAGTCTCATTTGTCGATTGGTGGACTGAGGTGTTATAACAAAAGTTAGCGAACTCTAAATGTTCATCAAAATCAGGCTGATCACTTGTGATGTACTTGGCAAGTATATTATGGAACGTCCTGAATGATCTTTCAGTCACAGCATTACCCTGACTCCAATGAGGAATAGCGTAGGTTTTATTAATGTACAGCATTGCACATAAACTCTTAAAGAAATCCGAGGTGAAAGCCGAAGCATTGTCAGTTATTAATTCAGTACAACCTCCAAAACGTAAATAACATTGCTTGAGGAAAGCCGAAGCTATGGTAGACGCCCTTGCATCTGGAATTGGGACAGATATAACAAATTTGGTAAACCAACATACAATATTTAAAATATGCTTATTGCCATTTTGTGTTTTAGGAAAAGGTCCTGCCAAATCAAGACCTACTTTGGCAAAAAGCGTGTTCACTGGTGGCAAGCACATCTCAGCTCTATATGGAGGATTTGGAGAATGCCTAAGCTGACAGGTAATGCACTGCTTATACCAAGTCACTATGTCTGAATGCATTCTGGGCCAGAAATATTTCTTGCATTTTCTAAAGGTTTTCCCAAAGTCCATGTGTCCCCCACCTAACTTGGTTGTGTGGAACGAATCAAAAATCATAGCTCTAAGCGAAATAGGAATATAAATTCTAGGCTTATGATCCTTGTAGTGGTGGTAAAGCACACCCGACTCAAGACAAAGGTCTTTTGCCAATGTTGCGTACTCATCCTTTTCCCCTTCAGTTATGTCCTTAGGGAATTTTCCCGTTTTCAAAAATTCTATAATAATCGATGCTTCAGGGTCTTCCATTTGTTCATTCCTAATATCAACTTGATGCATTTCACCCTCAATGGACCTTAAAGACAACGTTAATGCGAATACTTCGTGAACAACTCTCGGTTTACTCTCCATGGCTAAACAAACAGGGAATTCAGCTATGTCTTCCAATTCACTAATTTTATCAACTTCTTCAGGAGTCAAATCTTCATGAGGAATTCTCGAGAGAGCATCGGCCAGAGTATTTTGTTTACCAGCTATATGTACTATTTTAATATTATAGTTCTGCAATTCTACAAGCCAGCGAGCTAGATGCTGGTGTGTCTCAGCCTTTTTCAAGAGAAATGCCAGAGGCTTATGGTCAGTGTGAAGTTCAATACTTGACATGAAAATAAAAGGTTTAAATTGCCTAAGCGCGAAAATAATAGCTCCTAATTCAATCTGAACAGGTGGCCAATTTCTTTCTGCGTTGGAAAGAGTTCTGCTGCAGTAGCAAATAACTCCATAGACCTTTTTCTCTTCATCCCATTGCATTAGAGCCCCACCATTACCTACTTGCGACGCATCACAAAATATATGGAAAGGTTTTGAATAATCGGGAAAAATTAAAACTGGCTTTTCAGATAATATTTTCTTGATTTTATCAAAGGCTACTTGTTGCTCCTCGCCCCAAGTGAATGGTTTTTCTTTTCGTGTTAATCTTGTTAATGGTTCAACTATTGTAGAGAAATTTTGCACATGCTTTCTAAAGAAATTTGCCATTCCAATTACATGCCTAACCTCTCTGACCGTAGTGGGAACTTTTAGGTTCAGAATTGTTTCCGTTTTTCTTAAACTAGGTGTGTATCCTGACTCATTTACAATAAAACCAAGAAACTCCATGCTTGCCGAAGCAAAGACACACTTTTTGGGACTTAATTTTAGATTAAAGCGCCTAAATCTTTCAAACACACTCCTTAAGGCATTGATATGCTCTTCAAAATTGTCAGACTTAGTAAAAATAAGGATGTCGTCAACATATGCAATAACATTATCAAGCCCTGTTAAAACATGAGCCATTATTCTTGCAAAAGCACTAGTCGCATTTTTAAGTCCAAACGGAAGATTTACCATCTGATAGATTTTGTCCTCAGTAATAACTCCACATTTTCTTGACGCTCTTTCACTAAGTTTAATTTGCAAATATCCGCTAGCAAGATCAAGCGACGAATAGTACCTACAATTACCTACTTTCTCTAAAATTGTTTCAAGTCTGGGTAGAGGAAAATGGTCCGGAACAGTCACTTCATTTAATTTTCTAAAATCAATGCATGGCCTAAGCCCACCATCCTTCTTTTGAACCAATACTATGTTAGAAACCCAAGGGGTATCGGACTCAACCATGACCCCTGAGGCTAATAATTGATCAATATGCTTTTGTAATTCATCACGATACTTAAAAGGTACTCGATGTGGTCTAGAAGCAACTGGTTCCTCAGATGTTGTGATTATATCATGTTCGCCTGCTGTACAACTTCCTATATCATACTGACTTTTGCTAAAAATGTCTTCAAACTCATCACAAAGTTCTTTTAGTTTATTAAGATCTTCGCCCTTTACAGTAGCTTTATCAAAGTCGATTTTGTAGGTAGGATCAATGATTACCCCGGTCTTCCCTAAGGAAAAGATTTCTTGAACATCTTCATTAACGATTATTTCTGATAAAATATTCTCAGATTCTGTTTTAATTACTTCACTTGCTAGACCTAATGTCTTTCCTTTAAATAATCTTTTTGTTACCCCAGTCGGATTGGCTAAAATTATTTTCACTACACCATCTTCTGGCTTAGCTACTACTGGCACAAAACTTAAACCTTCTTCTTCAAGTCTGTTATCTATTGAGTGCACCCAGATATTATGCCTAAGCAATTCAGGGAAATTTATTTTAGCTTTTATTAAGCATTGCTCATTGGGCCTTATCTCGCAAGTCTCTATTGAATATATTTTTAAATTTCTTAGCGGCCTATTTACTCTGTTCTCAATACATATTTGACTGCCTTCAATACGAAACAACTTATTTCTAAGATCAACGACAAATGGAGGCAGCAGTGTCATTGCATCACAACCCAAAATGAAGTGATAATCGTGGTTATCCCAGTGAAACTTATCATTAAAAAGATGAATAACAATCTCAGCTAACACTCCTGCTATTTTTAATTGAACCTTAGTGGCTTGCTTGGCACACATGGAATGTTCCGAGGCACTTTGAAGATAAGTTTCAGTTTTAAAAATTTTTGTCCCTAGCCATTCTGCTAGTGCTATGTTTGCTACAGAGGTTATTGCACCAGTGTCAATCAAGCATTTGACTGGAATACTATTTAAACTGACATCAATCACAACAGTATTGGCATTTGCTCCTAAAGTTCCTATAAATCCACTAGTTCTATTAATTCCTATGGTAGACTCAGGTCTTGTATTTGCGGTGCTTCTTGGTAAAGTATTGGAGTTAGCGTTATTTCTTATTGAAGGAGGCCAAGAAATCGATAGTGGCCTGTTTACTGGTTCTTCATATGCTTCATCTAGCTCTACAATGGGTTCTGGTACTCTTCGAATGTCTAACATTCTCCTAGGGGGTGGAGCCTTCTGAACTTCGGATCCAAAAATAAGTCTACCTAGTCGCCCATTGCCCGCATACATTTCAGCAATAATCATCGAGAACCTTAATCCAAAATCTAACGCTAAAATTACCACTAGGATTGAAATAATTGTCTCCCAAATGCTCTTATAATCACCAATTAATCCTTTCTCAATTTGATTTTCAACTTCTTGCCACTCATTCGACACAGATGTCGACACAATAGAATCTTTTTCATGAATTTGGTAAGTCATTTGACTAACTTTGACTAAATTACTAACGAATGCATGATCCTTAATATCAGTCATATTTAGAAGTACTAGTTGATGAAATGCATGAGACTCAATGCTTGGAATAAAATCAGCAAAATTAATCTTTATGTCATGGGATTTTAATATCCTTGGCCTTACCGAAGTAATTTTTCCTTCAATTTGATCAACTTCTAAGGTCTGATCATTTATTTGAATAATTATTTTTCTAAATTCTTCACAGGGACCCTTCTTAGATGTCGGAGATATAATCATTGTCGTGGGATCAAGAAACGCCAGGTGTTCATTACTTTCTGTTTTTAAAATAATAGGCAAAAATTTAAAACAGTGATCTAGCTTAGTAGGACGAAATTCAAAATCTCCCTTGTCTATGGGTACGCATGGCCATACTTTCATTAGGGATCTTGCTGACCTTTTTGCAACCAGATACGAATTAGAAAACATAGAACGCGCTAAATCTGTAGGATCTGAAAGATAAGTAGACTCAGTCCAATGTTTGACCATTTCGGTAAATTCACAAAAGGACCTTAGTGACTGCGCAAAAGCAAAATTTATGGCTTGGGTAATTGACGAATCAAGATAAGTGAGTTGAGATGCTAGTTGTGAGGAAGTTGCTACTCCATCATAAAACCTTTTCTTATGCTTAATTTCAGGACTTCTCTTATTTCTCTCCAAATTAGAGAACGAAAGTAAAACGGACCCTAGACCTTGATCTGATACGACAATACTTTGACCGCAATCCTCAATAATTGTTTCATTTCCAAATGTAAGCCCTAGGCGTCCATCATCTGAAAGCCAGGTGGACCCCATACATCGCCCGTCCTTTTCCCCTACAGGAATAAAATTGCATTTTCTTTGATCGTCCACTTCCCAAACTATAACCGTTTTGTCATCTAATATACAATGACCCTTTGTATAAGGGCAGTCGCGAGCTATGCCTAGCGGAGTCACAACTTCTGAAGCGCCAAAATGTGAATCTATCACACTTTCAAATAAGAAACAGTTTTCACTTGAAATATTCTTCCAAGAAAATGAACCTATAAACCACATCCTGGGGGTTAAATCAATTTTATTTTCAGTCTGCCACAAATTATTATTTTCCTTAAGAATGCCTAAGCTACAACTGTGATGTTTTATCATTTGATTACACTCTTCAAACGAAACTTCTAATTCTTCATGAGTCATTTTCTCTTCAACTGAAACCCCTGTTAACGTTGTATATTTTCGAGCATTTTTCTTTATTTTCCTACAGGCCCATGCTTTTGTCGAGAACTCAATACTATTTGGAATATAAATACGCCTTT